CCCGTCTGTGACGACCCAGCTCTCTCCAGCTCTGTCTTTCACTCTCTCCATCTCTCACGCACACACAAAAACACACACACACACACACACACACACACACACACACACCTCTCTGGCTTCCTCCTCCCCCCCGCTACCGCTACGGCCACATTGCCACACTCAGTTTTCCGTGGCCTCTCATTCCCGAGTCCTCTGCGAACTAAGTAAATGAACGACATAATCCGGAAATAGTGTTCCACCCGGAGATGGTGGGAAGGAAAATCCCTTGACTTGTGCTGGCAGGAACGTGGGAGAGAGAGAGAGAGAGAGAGAGAGAGAGGGGGGGGGGGGGGATGGTACAGCAGCTATCCACACTTCCTTTCATAACACTTTCTCTAAACGCCTCTAAAGTCCTGACGCCTCATATCATTTTACAGCCTGATCTCCAAAACCTGTTCGTAAAAATGTATACGAAAATCTTGAACATACAAATTCGTAGTGATACATACGAAATAAATACGGACTGCAACTGATGACGTCACCCTATTCAAAGTGAACGGGGACCTGCACCCCGTAAACACACTTTGTGAAGCCTAACAATGTAAAATAAACGCGTTATGATTGCATTTTTAACGAGAAATCAATGTTAACTTGTAAGAATAGAATACTAACCCTAACCCCCTCAAAAAATCCGACATGGCGGAGAGACGTTCACTCAAGAATCCGACATGGTCCGCCATGTTGTTCACTCAAGGGGCGTGGTTAACCACCGCAAGTTCGTATGTATTGTTACGAATTTGTATGTTCAAGATTTTCGTATACATTTTTACGAACAGGTTTTGGAGATCACGTTGCATTTTACTGTTCCAAACCAAACTTTTCAGTATGGGGGGAAAAACCCCCACGTTTGCTTAGTTTTCCGCTAACACAACAGTGCGACCAGAGAGTGCAGGAGAAGGCGGCGGCCTCGCGCCACAGTAGTAGAGGTTAACTTATCTTTAGACCAAGAGGTCAAAGAGCAATATTAAAAAGGGCGGATGTCTCCGAGGAGGCTGGTGTGGAGGAATGAAGCTTCGGGGTGCCGGGTCGATGTTGTGAGGGTTCGCCTGGACTTTGGCTGAGGGGAAAGACGGGGGTTCTGTGCCAGCAGGGTGAATTCTATAACCAGGATGTTATCATTTCCCCGGGCCGGACCGGCGACCGGTCGCTCGTAGGCTTCAGGAAGGGATCGGATGGTGGTTTCAGCCACAGTCTCAGGAAATGTTCCCGGCTCTCATGAAAACCTCGTGCAGTGCCCTCTTGGCCCGGGTGGTAAAATGTTCCTCCGGCGTTTGCCGGAGGATGTGGTCGGAGAAGCTCGGTGGCTGCGTTCCTTGAAGCAACAGTGTGTCACGCCGGGTCGATTTAGATCAGCGTCATTTAGCGGCGGTATGATTTTAAAGAGGGGAATGTGCTTTTGCAGAGTAGGTGAATAATGTTTAATGTTAACTTGATGCCTGGTGAATGGCCAACACAAGCCGTGCTGTGAGGGGAGGATCGGCTGCGTGAGTACATCCCTCCACAACAGTAGGTAACATGAGATGGGGATCCACACAACCGCTAAATCAGTAAAATGGGAGCCCAGAGTCACTGTAATTTGGGAGAGAGCTGGTTTACCGCTCCTCATAATGGATGGTGTTTCTGTTTAGCCTAAGGCGTTGGAGCTGAGGTCATATGCAAACAAGCAGATCCAAGGCCTCAGCTTTTACACACTGCACAATGTTTGGATCAGGCTCATAAAATCATAGAACAATTTGCATTAATATCTTTAGAATATTAAGGACCTTGTGAAATAAGTTCTTAATTGGCTATATGAATATATATGATCCTTAAAGTTCATTGAAAAATGTACATGTACATGTACTTCATGTAAAAATGTATCCTATTTCTTTTATCTGAGGGTGTTTGTTTGCCCGCCGATTTGAACCAAACTAGGCCCATTTTCTTTTCAGGAAATTATCCAAATTTGCCCGCAGGTTCTTCCATAAAACTCAGATGTATGTTTAGAGACTCCTCCATGAAGTCCAATATATCTATATATTTCATATATGTTTAATTAATAGTTCACCCGTTGCCCTCAATTGACTTCAATGCGCATTGAATTCCTGCTTACAGCAACATTTATTCCCTCATTAAAGTCATAGCCTCACCCTCGGTCACAAATTATTCAAGAGCTGAAACAATACTCTCTATACTCCAAGAGTCTCTGCAAACTGCCGAGTTCAATGAGCATCTATTTTGATTACACAAAGTAATTTGTGAGGCAGATATGCCGAACATCAGCTTGTGAAATGTGAGGATCTCCTTCTTCATGCTGTTTTTAAATTTGAGGTTGAGTTTTGCACTGCAGGTGCAAAACAAGCAATGTGAAGACGTCATTTTGGGCTCTGGGGAACCGGGATGCATTTCTAACTATTATAATAAAAATAAGCATTCATTTGGTATTTGTAGGTCGTCATTACGGCTCTGCTGCAGACTAGAATCGACGGCTCCCGTATTTATTTTCGGAAATGTCCCTTTAAAGATTACATCATTCTTTTTCTTCCTTTTTTTTTTTTTTTTCTTCCCTCACCACATTTCTCAGTGTTCAGCCTTTTCTGCCCGGAGACAATTGCTTAATTCGCCGGTGTATAACACTGCCACCTCCTGATCCACGATGCCATCGAAGCCGACACATACGTGCGTTTCATGATATTTGACTTGATTCATCACACCTCCCTGATCAGAAGCACATGACCCTATTCACTGTTGTTTTCTTCACCACAGGATGTTCATTGGTAGGAAGAAAGGATACAACTGATGCGGGTGCTTTGTGTTCACCTACAATAGGTCTGTAAGTGTGTGTCTGTGTGTGCGCATAGTGCCATTCTGCCATCTAGGGGCAGAACACATGAAGGATCCAACTCTTACTCCATCCATGAAAAGCTTTCTCAGCTAAAATGTTCACAGCACGATGGCGAGTGTTGCCTGATGTATCTCTTTGATTAGTTTGAATCAGTGCTTCTTTGTCTAAGTGGCGGTTTGTGTTGTCAGCGGACTTCCACGAGCCAGTCGGGACGCCGCTGCACGGCTTCCATGAACACTTACTGTCTCTTTGTCATCCGCCCCATAAACACCAGTGCCGGAGGGGAACGTCCTTCAGCACAGAGACACTTTTGTCTGGCAAAATTTCTTTTATACGGATAATTAAATTTATCAGTTTCATTTTCTTTATGTTTTGTGTTCCTGTTGCTTGTGTAGAGATTTTTTTTATGATTTCTGGAGCTCAAGTTACTCTCAAATAAGGCATCAGTCCATTTAAAGTTATTGCTGCTTGCCTGGTTCATGCAATAAGACAGCAATAAGCCAAAGACCGATCGAATATAATATATCATTTGAAGTACACCATTCTTACTGGTTTTATGTCACAGATGAGTCCGACCAGACAAAGAGAGGTGGCATCTTTTCAGCTCGTCTCATCGCAGGGCCACACACATTGAGCACATAGTCAGTGCTCATATAGATTTTTAGAGAAGAGACGGTCTAGGAGTTTGTTTATGAGAAATGGCCGATGTGTTGTCCCTGTTTGTCTTTTGTTTGCAAAGGCAACCTCATAAGCACTTAAAAACTCAAAATGTCCTGAGTTTAAGTTCATCAGAAAAAGGCAAAAGAAAACATGAAATATAACGTACTGTTCATAATCCTACTCATGTCAGTGTGATCTATTTTTAATTTCTACAAATTCAGGAAATTCTCACCGGTCACCAGTCTGATTAAATGCTTTTCTGTCGTATGTTGTAAATCAAACATAAAGTGGAAGGAGAATTCCTCTGTAGACGTTTCCGTTCTTCAACTTGTTCACGGTGTATTCAGCGAGCAGCGGACCTCTTCAGCTGATCCTCCTGCAGGGAGGCTTCGGCTTTCTCTGCAACGACAGAAGATGCTTTGTGGCTTTAAACCTGCCTTCCAGCGCACGCGTTCAAAGGAAGCGCGGCAGACACGAGGTGGGCGCGTTTAAAACCAGTAACAGCGGTGTGACCGGTGAGATATAATGATAAGGATGTCCTTTAGAACGGCATCAGCGCCACAACGCCGTGTGTCCACATCTCCATTATTATATTATGTTAGTGTGCTGGCAAAAAAAGGCAAAAATAACAGCAGCAAAAAGGCCCAATCAGCAGGTGGCAGTATGGAGCCGCACGGAGTGAACCGGTGTAGCTGATAGTAATCCCATCACTGCTCCCTTCAGGTGGGCCTCTTCCAGGTCGTAGGACTGGAGATCGGTCTTAAGACCACACGTTGAAGGTTTCTGAGTTGACGCCATTTGAACTCTTTCTGGCCTCAGAGGGTGAGATCTGTCTGATTGATTTGTTAACATTACGACTACGATCGCTCAACCAAAAACTCCCAAACATAAAATGAATCACTTTAATGCCTCTTAATTATTTTATCAAGCAGTTTCTCACATATTTTTATGATCATGAAAATAGTCTGGGTCACCAGACTAATTGTTTTGACTAACTATGGGCCTCGGCCAAGCCCAGTTTTTATTGTTGTTGTGGATTCAATGTATCTGAATATAATACAGCGTGAAAAAGTAAAATATTCCTCCTCCCATAAAGGGTCCAGTAGTGAATAATACTGCCAGTATCCCTTGGCTCACAGCTCTTGGTCTTTGCGCTTGGCTCTGTCCAGCTCGCCTCTTGCTAATCCCAATTTCCGTGACCTCCGACCCCTTGGTCGCGTCTTATGTAAGGTGCTGGTTAAGGAAAGCCCGCAGGAGCAGCTTGTGGTGGGTCGATTAAGCTCATTAACAGTTACTACAGGATGCCTGGAATAGTCAGCCAAAGAAGGGGTGAGAGCAGACGAAGGGGTTTCGGTTCTGTTTCGGGTGTCTGGATTTGATGCTGGATTGTCTCGAAAGCCCTGAAACTCACACTTAGTATTGAGTAGCCCCACGCGGTGTGTGCGTCTGCGTCTGATTACACTCTCTTCCATTTCAGCCCACGTCACTGACATCCAATAGTCTCTCCCCACCGACGGGCAGAAGGAGAGAAAACGCCGCCGTGCAGGTTCATCATGTTTCTGTGCGTTTGTCTTCTAGAACTGCACCACAACACTGATGACCAATCTGTCCTTTCGTTATCAGCGAGGGGGAGTCGCTGTGCTGTGAGCCGCCAGCCGGCAGCAGAATAATCAAACCTGCTTTGGCTGAAGCCAAACTGTAACACAAGAGCGTAACACTATCAGGATTAGTTTGTCCTTTGCCAATCGTGTTCTTTCCTCCAGCACAACACGTGAGGTCCCTCCTCCGGCGAGCATTTGTCATGATTACAGCTGACAGTGTGGACTCTTAACAGACTTCACAAATAAATATCAGCAGCAGGCAAAGCTCCAGTGTGACAACTTGTGTGCAGTCAATGTATATTATTCAGTTTCCAGAGTGCTATAAAAATACATTTTGTCCAACTGCAGCTTCAAAAAAGACTTCTCGAAATATGACAAATAATTCAATTGGCAACTAGTTGTTCTAAAGTCCAGCTTTTGATGGAGCAGAGTAGTATGTTCTGCTGTCTTTAGGTTTTCCTCATCTATAAGGGAACGAATGCTCATCCTGACCTTTCGTATCCTGCAGGCATACCTGAGGCACAACTGTCAAACCCTATTCTTCATTTATTCACCCCGTTTGGCCATTTGGCTCTCTCCCATTAGTATGTTGTCGACATTTAATTTCATCTTCATTTAAAGCCCCAGTGTTTATTTACTGAGAAAATATCCGAGCTAATCTGCTTCGGCACTGTGGATGTGTTTAATTAAATGTAATATCCAAATTAAATTCCTTGATTTAGCATTTAAATTGGACTGGACTCCATTGATGATGTTGACAATTACTTTTATTTTGTTACTCATAGTAATTTATCCATATTCATCCTGTCATGTCTAAGAGCAAAACCCCTCATCAAGAATAGAAAAAGTAAAAATGTCAGCGCTTTTATTTTCTCCTTCCATTGGTCCCGTTTTAGTGGAATATTTGTGTAAATAGCGCTGCACGGTCTCCCAGCACACAGAATATATTTGGCTAAACTCCCTTTTTTTCAGCTTTTATCTGTCGCTCTCTCAAAAAAAATCACATGGTTCCAAAAGCTGATGGGTTAATGTTTCCTCTTTTAGTAAATCTTTTTCATTCCATACATTATTTCAACAAAGAACGTAAGGACACTTAAGGCTTTCATTACAGTGCCTGACCTCTTATTTCTCTCCTGTGTTTATCGGCGTGTCTCTGGCTGAGTGACGCTCTTGTCGCATTTTTTTAAATCTGTGCATTTGTCTTTGCTCCTTCCTGTCCTGTAAATCTCTATAGACAAAAAAAGAAATAGAAATGAAATAGTTACATTTTTATTATTGTACCAAAATCCTCAAATATAGTGATATTTCTTTTCTTCTGAAAATGTAGGCAGCCTCTGATTCAGACCAAAAATAATTTCCCCTCAAAGGTGCCTTTTATTATGTGAAACCTTGTATAATATGCATGCAGATGGCTGTAGAGTGTCTGCTCGAGGCAAGCCGGAGAGGTGCTATCAGGGGACAGCAGCCACGTGACCATGGCTGCAGGGATTGGTTTAGTGCAGATGTGACATCAGCAAGCCTCCCTCCTCCCTCCTCCCTCTCTCTCCCAAGTCTCTCGCTGCCTCTCTCTCTCGCTCGCGCTACACTGCTCTGCTTTTTTCTCCTTTGCCTTTCCTCAGCGTCCCCCCTCTCAGAGATGGCGTGTGTCGGTGCCGCTCGGGCGGCCGGGGCCTAACGTGCACACAGAGAGGACCTTCCCCCTCCCCGACCCCCTCCCCGTCCCCCCCATCCCCCTCCTACTCCCCTATTTGCTGCATATTCCTCGGGTGTCTCTTCTGACCGTGTCCTCCGCTGCTGCCGGTTCGGAGATCCTCCCCATCACCCCACCTCCCCGTGAAGGGTGTCTGAGAGTTGGGCCCTCGGGGGGTGGAGGGAGTCAACATCGTGCCTCGCTGGAGGAGCTGTGCGGAGCGAGCGATGCCCTGCCCAGGCATCCTTTGACCGGACGGATTTTTCCACTCCTGACCGCCTGCGCAACGGAGGGGCCGCATAGGATGAACAGCAGCAGTCATGATGCAAGGTAAATGATCTGTGCCCTGCTTCCCCCTGCCTCATTTCACCCCCTACCCTCCCTCTGCGTCCTCCCCCTGCCCTCTCGCGTCCTGCCGGGCCATTCAAGCTAGTGAATTTGGTGATGTGATCCGTCGTAACGTCAGGAGCTGCAATGAGTTTAACACGCAGTCGCCGCTGTGACAGTGCCGCTGTGAGCGTGTGTGTGTGTGTGTGTGTGTGTGTGACAGATTGAGGGAAACATCTATACAAGAGGAGTGCAAAGCTGTGTGAGCTGTGATTTGTAAGGAACAGCAATGGAGTCACACTTGCTAATGTCTGGTTGTTTGTGTGTTTAGATGTGTCTGCGTGTCTCTGTGTGCACGTTACAGTTCTGTCTGTGGTCACACACTCAGTTGTTGTTTCAGGAGTAGAAGGATCTGCACTCATTTTAAACCTCTGCGTGTGAGGATTAAACGATGCATTATTTGGTGCTGGCGTCGCACACTTTGAAGTAAAGGATGCGGTACAAAAGTTAACGATGGAGAAACGAGGTAAAGTACATGGTAATTATGATGGAGGAGCTGAATCATAGAGCTAACCCTCCATGACAGTTTGCTGGGCCTTCACCATCCATTTATGCCAACGTAGTAATGGGAGTCTGCTATTATTAGCAAAAGGCCCGCAGTCAGCTACCATGATATTGTCAGTTCGTGGGCTGCAAAACAGCGCAGATGTCACAGGCTCATCACAGTACTTTTTATTTGGACTCAAACATGGCTGCAGAGCATGTGCTGCAATTTCAACCTTTTTGCTTCAACAGAATAATTCAATGGAATGTCTCCAGAATATGTCTTCTGGAGTTCTTCTGGAGACTACTTAGAAATGAGCATCTAAGTCCCTCATCAAAATAATGACGATGACCTCTCTTTGACCTGTCATTTTATACTACTGTAGATCGACTCCGAGGTCCATATCAGTCCATATCGTCATTTTTTTGCATATTTTAGCCTTACAACACTGGTAGCAACCGTACAACAGAGCAGGTTGTGTACAGTGTTCCATTGATTTCCCTTCTCGCAGGCAGCTTCTTGATGCAGTTAATCCGAGGACTGTATGGAATCTACTCCACGAAACATCAAACCTTCTTGACAGGGACAATCTGTTAAAGACAACACTTACCATCCAAGCGGCCTGTAAAGCCAATGAGAACCTAGACATCATAAAACGGGGTGGAGTCACAGTAGAATATTAATAATATTATAACCATCAGAAAAGGTTACTTATCGAGCGATAACACCGTTTTCTTCATATTTTCAAGAATGAAGGTCAAATCAACAGTTCAGCAAATACTGTATTTACAGGTACCTTTAGACATGGAGGTGAAGTTAGAGTTGGAGGCCGGAGTGCTTGCAGCGTGTATCAATACTGAGCAAATCTCCTGAAATAGTTGGTCCCCACTTTGGTTGTTTGTCCTCTGTCCCACTGTCCACTGATGCACGGTGTTGTTAAGCAGGCAGACAGAGCATCGAATTGACACACCTATACACAACAGACCTCCAGCGTGGATAAGTGACAGCTCAGGAATTTACAAAAAGTGAAGCGGTGCCAGCAGTGAGCGTCTTGCTGGTGGTTCGTTCAGCTATTTGCTTGAAACTCCACCATCAGAGAGTCAGCTGCTGGAAAGAACGACCTCAACGAGCTTGTCAGAAAACCAGTAAGAAAGTTCAAATGTAGTGTTCATTTTTTCATCTTAGTAACAGCGAAGACTTCTTTTGCAGCTTTCGATTGCATATGGTTGCTTTCATCTGCTGGTTTGCTCAGTTCTGAACTCTGCTCACCGATGAAGGCCACCGAGAGCGGCTCAAAGCTCTGGAGGAAAATATCTCATCAGTTTTACGGTTTATATGGTTGAAAGAATTGAGGTGAGACTTTTCTATCAAGGAAGGGCGGTTACATCATGTCATAAAAATGATATAATTCATAGTGCAAATTATTCTGATTCAAAAGGTTGCTTATGACCAGATATTGCGTCTTACATTTGTTGACTTTCCCTCAAAACATTTTAACATTTAGTCAGTGTCTAGAGTGTCTCAATTCATTTCATGCCCCAGTGAAATGAACAGAGACAAATGGCTTCCTGCAAATATGACAACTGCGTTTTATTTGTTTCATTTATCTGAAAGCATGAGGATGTGCTTTTAAAGTGGAATGATACTGCTAAGGTAAAGAACTATGCAGCATGTGAAGTATATGCCCTCTTTAATAGTGTTCTAGGGTTTAGCTGAAATGTACACAAGCACCTTGTTTCTCAGAAGAAGCATGAAGAAACTGAACTCTCTTTACAGCGATGATCCTGTTATTACGCTCTCCTCAGGCCCCCGCTTTAACCCGGTCAGTACGCATTGTATGGCTTGGTTTTTACTCTCTTATCACACGAGACACATGCAGGTTAGAAGCGGACAGAAGGCTCGCTGTCTCCGGAGATAAAGAGCTGTGAACCGGGCGTAATCTGTGCTACTGAGCAGCCCAACTCGATGCTAATACATCACAGGCTCCGACGTGTCCTTCAGTACCCGGGAGAGCTCCGTCCTCCGTGGAGGCCGCTGAGCACCAGGCTTTCAAAATACTTAACAGCCTAAAATAGAAATTCTGTTTGTTTCAAATATTCCATTGAAATATATGAAACAAGGTGCAACCAATGCAAGATGTCTGTAAATCGTGTCCCTGTTTTTTTTTAAACATTTTTTTAAACAGCTCACATATTAAAAAACAACAACAAAGACTTAATGAATAGAGAATAAGACAAACTGAGCTGCCGAGCGGCACAAAATGTCCATGCTGTCCATCACGTGTCCCTGCTGCTCTTGTGTAGATGTGAAAAAAAACTGTGCCCTCTCGTCGTCTACAGCGCTGTTACGCAAACCCGCCACTGAAAAAAAAAACACGTTACACAGCCAACACAAAAAAAAGAGAAAAGCCTTTCAGCTGTCTTTTTTTTGTTTTGTTTTACTAATATGCTAATCTGTCTTTCTTTTACATGACATACATCATACAGCTACATGCTAAATACAAGATTTTACATCTTTAACCGGAGGGAAGCCGGAGGATGGTCAATGTTAATTACCTCACTAAGCTTCTCTAAGTCTCCACACTAGCAGCACGACTCTCTATAAATGTCCGAAATCTACAGCTTCAACGCGATCCTAAAAGATTTATTTCCACGCTATCCATAACGATTGTTCTCTGCTGCCTGAAACCTTTTGCAGTGTTAACTCGTCTCTCTCCAGCTGTTATCCAAGAAATGTCTGAGACCCCCCCTCCTTTCTCCCCTTTTGTCGTGCTGGGATGTTTTTACCGGGTCTAAGGGATCGTGTTGGTTATTAGTCACTACAAAACAATCGTAACATCTGAAACGAGCTACACAGCGCGCTGTTGGAAGGGACACGTGCTCCTCCCGGAACATATTCTGTAAGAGAATAACTCAAAAACCCTCAAAGAGTTTGCCGTGAAATGGAAACATATAAAACGTCATTTAACATCCACAGCTTTCGCCTTTAAAAAAGGACTGGAGGACTGGAACACTAAATTGATTTGAACTACAGATGGAGTATCATACTCCGTACTAGATACTGCACGCTTTGAATGGTTCGATCGCCGCGCGGTGCCAGCCGTCCCTGCTGGAGGGGTCCTGGCACCCTGATTCTGCTGAGCGCCGCTGCCACAGTGGATCTCTCCCACTCTCCCCTGAATGTTGCTAATGAAGTGGACACATTGATCAGCTTTTGCTCGAGTTTTCACGGGGGGAGGAGGAGGGGGGGCACTAATCAGGGGATTTGCATCTGCGCTCCTTCATTTCACATGGAGACGTTCTCCAGATGGCTGGATGTTTGTGTGCCGGATCTTTAGAGTAATTAATATGAACTTATTGTTGGACGGTTTCCTCCTCAAGTTACTGCACATCAGTCCGTTACTCTTCTGTGTTGTTTGCTTTTAAGTGCAGTTTAACGACATGACAGTTAACTTTATATTAGGCTCTAAAGCATTGGATTGATTCTTCATGACGTTGTTCTCCCTCCCTCTGCACCAGGACTGAAAAAACGAACCAGGAAAGCCCTCGGCTTACGCAAGAGGGACAAGGATACAGATGCAACGTGAGTTTGCTCAGGCGCATAATTAACATGCAGAGTTTAACAACAAGCCAACTCTGAAACAACTTGAAAACTCATCAGTTCCAGAAAGTGAATTAAGAGCGCGATGGGTAACAATGCCAAATAGTCTCATGGCACTTTCCACAATATGTCTACGGCATCGAGTAGAAAACAGCCAGATATTTAGAGATATATGATAAGTGGTCAAATATGCTATCCTGTTTTGCTGTGATTATATTTGTACTATATTACATCGTTGTCCTACTGTTGTGATATAATTGCTTTCTTCTTTCTTGTTGTTCAAACAGAAGTTCACCTGACAAAGAAGGAGCTGCAAGCGGAAAGAAAGGAAATGTATGTGAATTTGTACATTTTCACCAAAAAATGTTTCCTCTCTGTTGTCACTCCTCTGCTCTCGTTCTAAAGATATGAAAATCATTATACGCGGGTGTTATAAAGTGATTTTGGACACCCTCGACTGATTTTAGTTGTTGTCGGCTTTATGTTATGTTTGCCTTTCATCATTCTGTCTGTTCTCCATTTCTTTGCTAGAAAAAGGCCAATGGGGCCCCGAATGGTTTCTATGGGGAGATTGACTGGGACAGATATGTAAGCACACTCTTGCCTTGCTCTTCTTTCTCCTTTTCACTGCTCGTGACCAAAGCAGTGACTTTGCAGCTTTTCCATAATGAAATGCCTTTGCTCTGCTGTGGCCCTCAGTGTCGCGCATCACCAGGTGTAAAATGAGTAAACAGTGCGAGTAGCAATAGCCGCATATTCTGTGAGTCAGCAGGAGCTTCAGGCAGGAAGCTGAACGTCTCAGGCGAGACGTGTGCGAAATCCGAAGCCCGCCTCGGTTATGCAGAGTTTAGCGAGTCCTCTGTTACAGTGTGTGACAGACTGGGAAGGACGGTTATCACCTTTCTCCCCCCCCTCTCTCTCTCTCTCTCTCTCTCTCTCTCTCTCTCTCTCTTCCAGGCCTCTCCTGACGTGGACGAGGAGGGCTTCAGCCTGCGTCCCGGGGAAGAGGGCGATGATATCCTTTCAGTCTCGGGGGCCGCGTTCCCCTGCAAAACTATTGACCTGTTTGGCCGAGTGACTCATTGGATGAGTGCTTCTACGCATTAAATAGGCCAAATCAATACTCTCTCCCGCTCTCGCCACATCCCACGAGTACGTCTCTGCAGCTGCAAAGGCAAAAAGGAGCAGGAGGGCAGCCGGACGGACAGATTACATTCAGATTAGCTATCCGGTTGACACTGAGCCACAGTTGTCATTAGCTGCTGACCTCCAGCTCACCGGTATTTTAACTCGCTGCTCCTGCAGGTGTCCACGGCTAGTTTTAAAAACTGACTCATAGAAAGATGTTACGGCGGAAACTACCCACGAGCACCATGATTCAACCGAGTTAAGACGCGTTGCTGTAAAGTGGGACGTCTCCCTCCCCTTTTCCAGACATTTAAAAGAATACGTGCCCGTTAATTGCTGAGGACAGTAATTAGCCTCCGTGTTTCACGACCTTCTACTTTGTCCTTGACGCGTGTTCACCGGCGTCCAAAGGGAAGCAATTTTTCTCCTCCAGCGAGTCCGAGGACGACGAGGACAGCAAGAAGAAGTTCAAAATCAAGATCAAGCCCCTGGTGGCGGACGCCGCCATGTGCGTCCCTCCGTCTGTGGACGAGCTGAAGGCCTCCGTGGGAGGCCTGGCGCTCTCTCCGTCTCTGGTGAGCGCTGCCGAAACGACACCGCGGCCCGCTGAGGGAAGAACACGCTGCCCTACGGTGTATTGTTAAATTCTGTCCTACAACCTCCCCGTGTTTGATTTTTCCCTTCTCTCCTCTCTGCTTTCGTCTCGTAGAAGAGAAGTCCGGTAAGCCTCTGATTTCATTCATTCCCACCAACAGGGATCCCCATGAACTCACTGTGGCCCGTCCATAAATCGTCCCTTACGCACCTTTTTTCTTCTGCATGCGTGTTTGTGTCTCACCCTCACAGTCTCATTCAGGTCTTTAAAAAACCTTGTTTCTTCTTTTTTTAGCTACAGCTTTATAATGCACAGTAAACATAACACACACACACAACGCACCGAACCCATTGGTTTGTCGAGCAAGCTGCTACATTCAACGTGTGTGTCGCTGGTTTTAGTCTCAAACGTTTGATGTCACTTTGCCGTGCAAGTAAAAAGGTGCGATGTGTGTAGTTTTAGTTGGTGTCCATTTGACTGATTATTCACCCACTCTCTGACCCAGGTCTGTTCTCTCTTCCTTTTTGCTGGTCTCAGAGACGCAGCCCGGTGAGTTTCTCGCACCATCTGCTGGCTGTTTCAAAGCTGCCAGCCTTCTAATCTCTGCTGTCTAGTCCGTTCAAAACAACGCAGTGCAGAAAGTGAAAGAGTCTATGATTCAGTATCAACGAGTACTTCAAGTCCTCATTTGATCTTTTCTTTGGATTCTATCTTTCACAGGGGCAGATAAAAAGGAATTTGTCCTGTAAGTACACATATTGCTTCTAACTTACGGTGACGATGCTCAGCAGGTCAAATGTGTATCACGTCCACACTTTTAGTTTAACTGATTAGCGCCAAACAAGACGTACAGTTCAGGCCAATTGGAAATGTCCGTTTTACAGGTGTTGGACACAAACTAATGCTTTGGACAAACGGACATTTTGACCTGATGATAGCGCTCAATGCAGAGTCTATTGTGACTGAGAGCAACATGAAGGTGTATCAAACAATGCAGCGAGGCCCGAGGTCCACCTTCAGCTTCTGAGATTATTCCTACCGGACCGAAAGTGGCGGATCAACTAACCGGCCTCACCTGTAGATAAATATATGTATATGTATATATATATATATATATCATCTTCCTGGGATACGAATGAACACAAGTGGCGTGCAGAGCAAACGGCTGAGTTGTGTTGTGTTTCTCAGGTGAGGAGATTGCCAGACCCAGACGCTCCACTCCGACACCGAGTCCTGCCCCTGAGACACCAAGGTCCGTCCCACTCATAAACATACTGGTTACCACTGTTTTTTTTGTCATGATGATGGTTGAATGACTTGCTTTTTGGACCTTACAGTGACAGGCTGTCGCAGAACGTCCCTGCATTTTTTGGGTTGCCGTCAGGGACCAAATACGCCAGATATGACGGTCTGTTTCTCCCTCCACCCCCCTCTCAATATTGCATGACCCCAACTGACACCAGGTGATGTAGTGACGTTTGTTTGTTTGTCGCAGTGGTCCCTGCTGATGGGTGGGGAGAGCCAAGACCCCGCTCGGAGTCCCCGCTGAGCAGACGTTTCCCGACCGGAGGTGAGCTGGCGTGAATGGACCTGAGTTAACACCAGTTTACCTGATTGAATCTGGACTGAACCCTCCCGCTCTTTGCAGCTCCTCCTCCGCTTCCTCCCAAAAACCTCCCATCGAGAAGTCACTACGGCTCCTCTCCAGATGGCGCTGGTGAATTTGCCTTTTTTTAAATTTTTGCCTTGTTTCATTAGTGCTTTGGGCTTTGATACTTAATAACACTTTGCAACCTTCCTGCAGCTAATCTCCCCAACGGAAGGGCCGCTCGCAGGTCGGCCCCCATCTACCTGAACGTGCTGTCTCCCGCCTGCTACCGGGGCTCCGGGGGCCCGGACCTGGATGACGTGTTCGGCCCCGCGGACGGCCCCCGCACCTGCGAGGAAACGACGTCTCCCAGATGGGTCACTTTCCCCAGTGACAGGCCCCCGCCGCCTGATGAACCCGCGCCTCCTCCTCCGCCCCCGGACTCTCCCGCCCCGGACACGCCCTCGTCGACCCCCTCCACCCCCGGCCTCTCCCCAGGTCCGCCGCCCGACGAGCCCCCGCCTTCGCCTCCGCCGCTTTCGCCCGGGTCCCCTCCTCCTCCAGAATCGCCCCCCTCCATCGTGCTCGGGCCCCCGCCCCCGGATGAACCGGCACCCCCCCTGCCGCCCGACTTCTCCCCCGCCGATTCGCCTCCTCCGGGCTTCGACGACGACGGCACCGACGAAGAGGTGCTGCAGTTCGCGGAGTACTCTTCGTCCCCGGCCCCCGCCAGCCCCGTGCCCCCTCTGCCAGCGGAGCGCAGGTCCCCTCGGCCGGGGGTCACGTCTCCTCTGGTCCTGGGGGCCGTGGGGGGGAAGGGGACTCCGGAGGGAGCATACCTGAGAGACGGCATCCAGGACTTTGTTGGTTCGCCCAGAGAGATGACGCCGAGTTTCAGGGGCACGCCCCCCCCTCTGCCCCCCACCACGTACAGGTCCATTATGTCTTCCCCAGGGCCCTACTCAGGCAGCAGTGAGTACACCGCCCTCCTTGTACATGTTTGCAATGATTACACCGGGAGAAGTCTATTTATCACCATTGCAAAACCTCTTTTCAGAGTTGCTGGTTGCTGCAGCTATTCAAAGTACAAAATGACATAATGATGTCACCTTTTGTTTTCTGGCTGATGAAAGTATTCTTCTCGAGAGTTCTTACACCAATGCTGCCCTAAAATAGATATTATTTTAACGTAATTTAGTTCAAGCTGTTTAGCAACCACACACCAAAGCTTTCAAAGATCAAAACAATATGATGCAAACAAAGTGAATGTACATTTACTTCAAATACAATTTTAGGAATGAGTAACCCTTTGAAACACACTCCAACTCTCCAACAGTTTCACTAAGAGACTATAGATATCTTAATTTAACAAAACTCATTTTGGTGAGAGAGGAAGCGGAATGGTGTCTTTTTTTCACTTGTTTGTTGATTATAGATAACTGATGTCTCCTGTCAGTCCTTTTATTTAAGAACCCTCAACAGCAGCATTCAGTGACCATCTTTGTTGAAGTTGAAGTGTGTGTTTTTAGTCGATGGAGTAATGAGGGCATATTAGGCCACGTTCAGTTGCACGAATCAGACCAAAAGCTCCTTCAAAAGGATCTGCAGAAATTGTATTGAATCCTAGTAACAGACAAACAACTTCTCTCATTTATATTTGCTCCTGACAAAAATTTAAAAGTAAAAAGCAGTTGTTGCTTTTTTCATTTCTTGTACAAGTGAAATATGGTATCAAATAACTGACTCTCAATACGGTCCAAAATAACGTCCGACGGCACTCGCTCTGTGAGCGGTGACGTCTGAGCCGATGTCGATTGATGAATTTTCTCACTGCGATATGAAGGCAGTGCTGACCCCCGACCCCGGTATGTGCCGCAGGCCCCCCGTCCCCGGCTCGTCCCGCCGTGCCTCCGTCTCGAGGCAGTCCGGTCCCTCCTCCTCCTCCTCCTCGGCCGTCCTCGAGACCCAAGCTGCCCCCGGGGAAGCCGTTCGCAGACCCGGTATGGCAAAGGTCCCCTGTCTCCGCGTTGCCTTTCTCTCCTTTAATGACAGTCTCTCTGTTATTTGAATAAAAAAAATGGCTTCAATTGTTATTGTTGTGTGTTGTTGTGTGCTGTGTCCAGGCTCGGGCCTTCAGTCCGCCGGTTTCAGGCAGCCCTCCACCTTTCGCCCCGCTGGCTCGAGCGGAGAGCTCTTCCTCCATCTCCTCCGTCACTTTACACAGCGCGGCGTCCACTCCGACGTTAGGGCGGGACCTCAGCATGTCCGCCGCAGGTACGCGGCCAGCCATCCTCGTTTTTTGCTCTTCCTCTGGCGTTCCTCTAGCCTCACATCTCAGTCTGCGTTCAGGTTGTCTGTCGCTCATCATCGTGTCCTTGCCTCACACTTTTGTCCCTCTCCGTGGTTCTCTCCCCCTCGTGTCTCTGCTCACTCAGAGGCCTCACAGCCTCTGGTATGGTTTGACCACGGCAGGTTTTATTTAGCGTTTGAAGGTGAGTCCAGTCGGATCGCTTCTGTAGTCCCGGCAGTGCATGGGCTGAAAGCAACTGCCCTCCTTTTGTAGCTGCAGCCCGCTCCTCATGTTCACCGAGCCAGAATGTTGCAGCCCGTCCCTCCCCGTCTCCCGCTCACTCACCTGCCATCTGGTTTCTAGATGGACAGTTGAGTTTACATTTTTTTGCTGTTCTTTGCTTTATACTCGTCCATCCCTGTGTGTACAACCCATAACTAAATATTAGAGCACATTAAGAAGAAGCCAAGCCATAAGATCTTGTGTACATGTACATCAGGTGTGTTAAGAGTGTGTGTGTGTGTGTGTATTTTCCCCAGGATGCTCCAGAGGACCCAGTCCACTCACCATGGGACCGCAGGACACTCTGCCAGTGGCAGCTGCCTTCACGGAAACCATCAATGCCTACTTCAAAGGCGCAGACCCCAGCAAGTAGGCCGACATTTCTTTGTGTGGACAGTGTGACCATTGCTGATCTAATGACCAGAACCCATTGATGAGATGATGGAACGCACCTGTTTTATGGACAAATAGAGTGAATACATTCCTGGTAGATGCAAACTGCGTGCACACTGTATGTGTTTTTTTTTCTTTTTCTTTAATATGATCTCAGAGATCTGCCTCTTCCCTCGCTCTGTCCCAGATGTGTTGTGAAGATCTCAGGGGAGATGGTGCTGTCCTTCCCTGCGGGCATAACCCGGCATTTTTCCAGCCACCCGACTCAACCCATCCTCACCTTTTGCATCACCAACTACAGCCGACTGGAGCAGGTCCTCCCCAATCCACAGCTGTTGTGCTGGTGAGAGTTGCAGTACAGTATTACTTTTCTTTGTTGGGGGTAATACACGATATACATGAGAGTGTGTAATCATGATTGATGGAGTTGATGTTGAGATCTGAATCAAACACGTCCCTCAGCGACTCCATAACAGACGGCGTGGACACCAAGGAGTTCTGGGTGAATATGCCAAACTTGATGAGCCACCTGAAGAGAGTGGCTGAACAGAAGCCTCAGGCGACGTACTACAACGTGGACATGATCAAGTATCAGGTACCCATTGTCCATTAATCAATGTATCTAGCTGATGTAACTTTTCGTATCAATCCTCGCCGTCTTGTGTTTCCGTGCGTCTCAGGTGTCCACAGAGGGGATCCAGTCCACTCCATTGAACCTGGCGGTGAGCTGGAGAGGCGACGCCACAAACACAGACCTTAGAATAGACTACAAATACAACACGGAGGCCATGGCCGCCCCTGTGCCACTGCACAACATCCAATTCCTGGTTCCTGTGGATGGAGGCATGGCCAAACTCCAGGCCATGATCCCCCCCGCCACCTGGTAAGGGGCTGCGTTCTGAATCGGGGATCCGAGTTTCATTTAGAGCGTTTTGGTTTTATAATTGGATGTAATTTTCCATGTTGCACGTTGTTTTTCAATCCAAAAATGCCACATTTCACTGAAAATGTAATGGTCTTTCAGTATTACCGTAGTCATGGAATTAGTACCTGGCTTAATGTCCCTCTCTCACGTGGAATTACTTTCTCATAAAGGAATCCAGAGGAGCAGACGATACTGTGGAAAATTCCTAGTCTCTCTCACAGATCGGAAAACGGAGGCAAGTGTTACCTTTTTTTCCGCCTTCATTCATTACATTTTCTGGACCGGACTGAACTGAATCCCCGATTCCAGACCCATCAGAACTGTATCTGTGTCCTCCAGGAGTAGGGGCTCTTCTGGGCCGGTTCCAGGTGAAAGACGGTCACTGTAAAACCTCCCAGCTGGCGGTCCAGTTCAGCAGTGAGGGCTGCACGCTGTCAGGGTGCGACATCCAGCTGGTTGGGACCGGCTACCGGCTATCGCTGATCAAGAAGAGATTTGCGGCAGGTCAGTTCCATGCGTGTGAGGCCTTTTGGTGAAGTCGTCTAAATGCACACAGAGACTTACAGCCTTTAACAACCTGCGCTCCTCTGACGTGTTTTCGTTTTGCTTTACAGGGAAATATTTGGCAGACAATTAGTGGACCTGTTTTTGTGAAGGGAACCAAAAGAAGCAATGGCTTAAAACTGTGAAGACTACAGATCCATCCCGTGTGCGTTTCAGGCATTATCTTTAGCAACCGTTAGAAATAATGGTTGAGATTTAACAGAATAACAGCACACACACACACACAGATGATATTTGACTACTTAACATCATATTCAGAGGGCCGACTGTTGCTGAGTTTATGCAAGTAAATACAAATAATTGGTATTGTGCACCGTGAGACTTCCGGAGTGAAGTTTAGGTAAACCCTGTTTTTTTTTGTTTGTGTTGACTTAATTGTGGATTCGACCTGTGATCCAGCCTTATTCATTGCAGTTCTTTTTGTCTAACTGGTCGTCATTGCAAATGCACTCTAACAGATAATGTGAATAGATTATATAATATGAAAACAATCTTCACCAAGGTGGAAAGGTTCTTGAAAATGTAAAAAAAAAAAAAAAAGTGTAGTTTAGAGTTTCTTTGCAGTTGTATTTCAGTAAGTTCTAGGTTTCATTGTAATATCTGATTTACACTGCCACATCAAATCGGATTTCCTTTCCCCCACCATGTGAAACTGATCTTTATCGTTGTTGAAGCAGAATTTATGTTTCCGTGCAGACGGAAACGTTGCAGCTCTTTCTTTTAAGTCTTGTGGTAAAAGGTGAGCGGTCAGTTCACGATTTAAAACGTCACGCAGCCCTGAAACAGCATTCTTAATCTGAAGGTGCTTTTTTTTAAATGGAATTGTGTGTCTCTATCCGGATGGTTTGAAGGGGGATTTGGAGCACAGCAAAACTTAAATTATTATATTTTTTATATTGTCAAACAAGCATTTTACTTATTTGCCTCACCTTAGATTTGCATTTAAGTCTATAATAAATACTTGTATACAAGCAGAAAATAACATGCTTACTTTATGTGAATCAGATTGCTCTTTATAAAAAAGAAAAACCCAATTCAATTGTCCACAGCCGGTTGCCTCTTTCCACAGGTATCCAATAAATCACCATCTACGTGGTTAGTAGCATAATACATTTTCTTTTGGTCAAATTAAAGTATTTTTGAGGGATTAATGTGCATGAAAAAATAAACCCATCTTCCTGTGATTACGTTTGAAGCGACATGTTTACACACTTTTACCACTACTTCAATGGCTTTTTGCCATTAACGGGTCATGCAAGCGGGGAGTCGAAACTGTAGGTGAAGAACAAAATCATTACTGTACCACTAAGAGCGCGTGCAATGCTTCGATACATGAACTCTCATGGACTCAAGAAGAGTCATATTCGCGGTGGTTCATGAGTGGTCAAACTTGTTACAACGAGGCGATAGTTATAACAGAAGCTGCTACTTCCACTGGATTCAGTCAATTTGTTCTGTTAATGTTGCAGAAAATAAGTTTGAAAGGGCCTTAAAATGCAAGACACTGAGTGCCATATGGTGGTGAGAACGGGCTTTAAGTTTCAGGATGAAATAAAGGAGGAGTCGCCTTTGATGCTGCTTATAAACTGGTATTTGATGGAGAACATCACAGAGTAATGAAAGGAAGTGACAGCGCTATTCATGTCCCTGTCTTATTTTCTTCCTTTTCCATCATGTTGAATAACACATGTTTTATCATTTTCTAATAGCAATATTTAAGTGTAAAAAGTGTACATAAAAAGGTTTGTTTCAAATATTTCTCTGGGCATATGGATGTGTCTGTGATTGTCTCTTGATTTATTGATGTCAGCAATCATGACAAATGAGGTCCTATGTAACAGCACTCATCAACTACTCTTTAACATGTGGGTTACCTGTACCAAAAAAAAAAGTGTTGCTGTTGACAAATAACTCCAAACGGTGCCGCATGAAATCTGCATTCGTCCATTCCAGTCAATCAACGCAATACCAATTTATCCATTTCAATGAGGCTGTTATACGTGTTTTATTGTATAATTGTGCTATGAGAGGAGACTTTTTGCCTTCACCTAAACCACTTTCTGTTTTGCTGTTGTTGCACCTTCAGAAACTCATTGTCAATACATTTGGCATGTATTCATTGACTTTCCCATTCTATGCATCTGATGTAGACGTTGGACATTCTCTTGTCTTTGACTTGCACACAAAACACACCTTAAATTTAGTTAACAAGAGTTATGTCATGTCACATGCCCACATGTTGGTATATTTATTATTGTTTCACCATCTCATTTTATAGAATGTTTAAACGTGTTGACTCACAATTTGGGCTTAGATGTAATAATTGATTCAAATTTTAAAATAATTTTTGATCAGTCAGTTGAGTACATCAGTTCTCAATGTTTATCTTCATGATATTAATGTTTTTCTCTGCCTTGTTTTTGAGCATTCTTGAGTGTTCTCCCATGGGAGAAAGTTTATTTTTTTCTACAACTTTTTCGCTGTATTTCTTTCACTGCATTAGACACAGAATATGCAAACATGTCATGTAAATTTCCCATCCAAAGATTTTCAAAGTAAATATATGTAAAAATCAATATAATGTAATACCTGTTTTACTTGGTAATAAAGAAAAGGAAATATAAGACATTTACATCCCTCTCATTTGTTCAAAAATAGTAAAGTATACTTTGGGAGTATTATAAAATGGCAGTAAATATCTCAACCAGAGTCCCACTGTTAAATAAATAAGGTTTTATTATTATTAATCGTTATTAACTTCTATGTTTTACAAAGCCTCGACCTGGCCATATGGCCACCAGACAGGTAAAAGGACGCAGATTGTTGCCGGGCCAGTCGCGTAAACAAGCTCATTCACTGCAAGGTCCATTTAGTCCATTTTGCGGGGGACTTACGTACCCACGTTGGCTTAAGGGCCGAGGTCCAACGTTAATTCTCGACCTCGGCGATGTGCTCAGATAAAATAAGACCACAAAAACAACATCAAATCCATCACAACCCGGACAAAGTCCACGCTCATTCATGGTGTAATCAAAAGTTAAAGAGGAGCAATTAAAGAGACCTCGCTGTGAGATTGTTTCTCAACGGCTGTTTCCAAGGTCAAGAATAATCAAAATTTAGGGCAACCTGATAATTGCTTTCAGCCACATCTCAAAGTCTTTGTCAGTAGATACAACCATGAATAATGCACGAGTAAGACAGTCATAGTTTTATTGTTATTAACAATCAATGAAACATGTGTATCTCTGAAACTGGCCTGCTGCATACAAACCCCTCCTGGTGATGGCTCGCGGTTGCCATGACAACGCCACGCTGTTTACCTAGCGTCCTACTTTCTTCTGCTCGTTCAAGAGGTGGCGAAATCGGTAAACATTTCTGTATTAACATTTCTGTACGTCCAATTATAAACGATACAATCCGTGGTATCCTGCTGTGCAACGGTTGCATCGTGGTTTTAAAAACAAGCCGACAGCTAGCGTGACGTTAGCTAACGTTAGCACACAGAATAACTAACGCTAACGTTAGCTCACAGAACAACTAACGTTAGCAAAACAATATTTGCACGAGCTAACGTTTTAACGTTTTAACTGTAAACTCTCTCAGAGGGAATTTTCCTTTGGATAAGATGTGTTTGATAAGGGAGCTGAACTGCTGGAGTTTGCCAGCAGTTCAGCTGTATTACTGTAAAAGTTGTTTACCTCGATCACAATGGACTTAACGTGCAACATATTCAGCGTTCAAGCCAGAGGAAAGCTGTCATGTCCGAACTGCCCCAGCTCAAAACCCTAAAATGGGAGACGGAGGTCGGCGGGGTGCCTCCAGAAGGAAGCCACGGTCTCAGAGGCAAAGAAACAACCGGCAGGACTAAGGAGTGAGTAGAGAATGCTGATGATGTGACCTGTCATCCCCTTTTGTTTTATCACTCTACTTTTCCCTCAACCTGATCGTGTGTGGCAGCTCTGTGAGTACTGCGTCTTACTCGGATGAACTAGCGCACCATGACGACAACGCCCGGATGACCACAACGATGGAGAACACCTACCAGCTGGGTGAGACTAAACTCAGCTTCCTTGTAGACGTGCGCCCCCACAGCATCAGCACCAACTGTAGACAGTTTTGTACTGTGACAGTTTAACGGGTTTTTCATTTTTGATTCTTTAAGATGAACAAGATTAGGAACGTGTTTAAGCATCAGACATTTCAATGCAATTAATTCATTGTGACTTTGAATGTTTGCGGTCAGATCAATACATCGCGATGTTTTTACCAATCAAAACAACTGCACGTGGAGTCAAACTTATTTGCCATGTTATTTTTGTCTTTTGGATTTCGTACAACAGGACCTTCCAAACGCATCCCTGTTCCCGCTGTCACAGAAATACTGAAAGATGTACTTACCAGTTATCTTCAATTGGAGAAATATGAAGTAGAATGGTCTCGAAAAATGACAAAAACAATATGTGAGGTAAGTAAAACTGTAGCTAAATAAAACACATTCATGTAGCACCTTTTGAAAACCTTGAATTTCCAGTGTTTGTGTTTGTTTGTTTACGCCCCTCCCCAGGTGATAAAATCCCGTGTGAAAGAACTCATGATTCCCAGATATAAGATTGTCGTCCTGGTCACCATCGGCCAGCTCACCGGGGAGAGCATGCTAATCAGCAGCCGCTGTCTGTGGGATGCATCTAATGACACTTTCGCCTCATACTCCTTCAAGAACAGCTCTCTGTTCGGTTTGGCAACTGTCTATGCGGTTTACTTTGAGTGACCTGAGCAGACATTGAATACAATCACTTTATGCATTTATCTATACAAAAAGATTGCTGGTGGTGGAGAGCTCTGTATCCATGTTGTATATTTTGCCATGTAAGAAGTTATAAAGCAAGATTTCTTCAGCAAAATTCATGGTGTTTTATTTCATTTTTTGGTAGCATGAACAGTTAAATGACATTATTTTAATAACATTCTGAAGATTTTCCTTTTTAAAGCAATGAATGGCAGATTGAGGATGACCTTCTTGGTATGTTCCCCTCTAGCAGAGCATGGAGAGGTCACTCCTTCGGCAGCCTAGTTGACAGCACACTGATATCAGAGCCTGGTTTTGGTCCCGCCGATGGCGGTCTATTGCTGGCTCATCTGTTGTCTTCACTTTGGGCTTCCCGCCACCTGCCAAGAGACATCGGCCCAAACGTTACTTGTATGTCAGTTGTTAAATTCACCACAAATCTACAAGGACCATTTTTCAAGTGGATGTTCTCACCTGCCTGCAAAGCGTCCTCTTCTCCCATCCGTCTTCTCCACCTGGATCCTCCGCAGGTGTAGACCACGGCACGCACAAACGCACGGCCACAAAGCTTCAGTTTGTTTGCGTCATCCTCTGTCTGGACGTGCGTTACGCACAACATTGCACACAGCAGCATCGCAAGCAGAAGTTGGGATCTCATGTTGTTCATTCTCATGGAACTATCTGTCCTGGCCATTTCATACGGTCTGTGGTCCGGGTATACCCCTTTATGTAGTCTCCAGTGATGTCACAGAATTTCCTTAGATGTCCACAGGTAATACCTGTGTAAATATGTGTGTATTATCTTTGTTAAGAATCTGGCCTTTAGCAACAGACGCAAGTCCGGTCATTGAGGATTTGTGTGGGAATCTAGAACATCGTGATGATCGCTGATTGACTCTATTCTCGTAAATGTTTAAGAGAAAGAAATGCTCTTTTATGTCCTAACTGCAGGGTTTTTATTGCTATGGATTTTGCCAAGGGTTACTTAATGGATCACTTGCGATATCCATCCAGCAACAAACTGAGATGATGGCTCTCTACATAGCAACATGTGTGCCCGCTATCGTGGCTAAATCAGTGATTCCCAGAAGAGACAGTTGCGTCAATCACTACGCTTGTCAAAATTGAACTGTGTCTTTGAATCAAGTTGGCAACATTACCGTGCCGTTTTTAGATATCAATGGTTGGGCCAAGCACAGCCCAATCAAAATATATAGTTTTAGATATGACTGTTTTTATTTTTTTTATCAAAGCACAAATTCTCATGTGTAATTAATAACTACACATCTGTCAAGTTCAGTTTTGATGACTAATAATATCTTATATGTTTGAATATATACAATTTCAAAATGTGTCACCTCTTAAGTGTCCTCTAAATCTGGAAATAAAGTAGCATGAAGTGCTGCCCGTGTAATCAGCATTACAGCCATGTGAAGTCCCAGTTTAAACTACATAACGTTCTTATACCTTTACTGGAGTGAACCCAAATAAGGAACATGACAAACTTAAATAGATTTGTTGTCTTCTTTTTGGCATTGGTTATTTTTCTTCTCCAGTAAAAGGTCTAATGGTCAATACCTGATGATGGGAAGACAACTTCTTTGCCATCTTAAAACAAAATAAAAAGTTACATTAAAAACACATCTACTACTTGCTATGTTCTCATTTATGAGCATGTCAGCAGATGTGATTGGTTTGAGATAAAGCTTTTTAAAAACACAATTCAGATCTATATGTAAAAGTGATATAGTTTTTATAAATACAATATTACACAAGGTCCATGCTATGGCAGGATTGTGTTCTTGATACTGCAGGTGGGCGGGGCTCTACATCCGGGAATCGCTGCAACCCCTGACGTGACCCTGCAGGATCGCAAACATGGCGGAGGTAAGAAAGTGAAATAAATATTCTGGGAAAATAAATTCATAGTGCAAAATAGTTCGGCCTGGTCGACGTGTACATCGTTTGCGCATTATAGCTTTAATCCACGAAATAAAGAATCGGATGTCTACGTTGCTGGATATTAGCCATTTATTGACGCGAGCATGTTTGGTAAACTTCGGGTTTAGCTAACGCTAGCTGCGCTAGCGCTGACGAAAGGTAGCTGCGGGTTAGCGATGCTACTTCGCGGTTTAGTTCAACAATACTGAACTATCTATTTTGACCTTTTGAACTGGATAGGTGGCGGTGGTTTCGTGGTTAGAAATCCACGCAGTGTGTGGTGTGGTCTTTATGATTATTATTCACAGGCAGCGCACACCAACCGTAACTTGAACCGTTAGCTAAATATATTAAGGAGATTTAGCTTCCTATCGGTAAGTTAGCCAGTTGAGTAAAGCCACCTAGTGAGCTGTGCGCCTGTTGGAGCTAACGTTGACTGTGGCTGGGCGCAGGTGGGTGAACTCACTGTACACACGGGACCATCCATATGCCACACATACATTTCCCCCACAGGACGTGGACAGTCTTCTTTGTTTCTTTTCGAACTGCAGTCAGTTTTTTTTAAGGATACGAGCGCGCTTCCCCCCCTCAGCTCCCCTGCGTGCCGCCCCGCCGGAGCAGCTCGCGGTGTCCGGTCACGTAGCGGCTCTGAATGTTCATCGCTTCTTCTTTAACTTTTTGTTTTTGTTTTCCGGCTTTCCAGCCCTCCCTCGGGAATTCGAGCCCAGGTACGTGGAGCTGCTGTTTTATTGTTGTTTGTGTGCAAGACAATACGCTTCGAACCGTTTGTTCAAAGTTATTTTTGTTTGTTCAACTTCCAACGACAATCACAACGATGCTACCAGCTAATGTTACACGTTATTATGTGTTTTCTGATTTGTTTACTCGTGTTCGTAAACCGCAGCAAAGCACATTCGTTATTATGGTTGATTAACAACAATTGCACATTCACATCAAACCTGTGTGAATACATCAGCAACTTCTATTATATATTATATTATATTATATATTCTGGCTACAGTTGGGCAAGAAGATAATATCTACCATCAGAGATTTTGCCTTATGTTTTTTTGTGTGGAAATATCTCTTTAAGTCAGTGTGAGAAATGCTGTAAATAATTTAATATGATACTTTTAAGGTAATTAAGATTTACAAAACAAAAATGTCATCAGTGTGATGAAATATTAAGATTATCAGTTTCCTGCTTTTGCAAAGATAGACAATAGACAAAATTAAAAAAAATATCATTACATATATTAATATTGCATGTATGTAATTACATGTACTGCAACAGAATATATCAGCCATCTTGCCCGCCCCTCTATACTTCAATATATATGGAATTTAGATATATTTTTATTAAAAATACCAGCTGGACCCAGTGTTTCCCACAGATCCAACGTCTGTGTGTGTGTGTGTGTGTGTGAGAGAGAGAGAGAGAGAGAGAGAAAGAGAGAGAGAGAGAGAGAGACGCGTGAGTGACAGAGACGGAGGGAGAGCAGGGAAAGGAAATGCAGCTGAATGAATGAACGAATACGCTGCGTGATTTAAATAGTGTTAAAATAAAAATAAAAAATACACCAAATGCAATGTGTGGCAGCCGGTGTTGAATCTGTGGCGCACCACCACAAATTAGTCTGTGTGGGAAACACTGCTGGACCATTATTGGATTTAATCATAATTTCCGTAGATACATAAGTATTCATTGATATTTTCAGTCAGATTTTGCAATGCTGCTATCATTTTTGGGGTCACTTTTCTAGGAGGTTCAGCAGGTTCCGATGACCGTGAGTTTGACCCATCAGCAGACATGCTTGTCCATGACTTTGATGATGAACGCACCCTGGAGGAAGAAGAGATGTTGGAGGCATCAGACGAGACGAACGCCAACGAGATTGAAGATCTTGCACGAGTAAGCTTCAGGCTTGGATCTTTGTCTGTCAAATAAATATTCTGTATATTAGAATTTAGAAGGTCTTATTACCCAATTTGGGAATCATTTTGGGTGTCAGTTTTTGAATTTCAAACTTCCATATCGGCCAAATGTTGTTGGTTTTTGGTCATCAGATGGTTATTTAAGTTTCTTTTACCAACAGGAGGGAGAGATGCCCATTCACGAGCTACTGAGTCTTTATGGTTATGGGGGCGGTCCACCAGCAGATGAAGACGAAGAGGAAGAACCTGAGGAAGAAGAGGATGATGAGGATGAGGATGAGGAAGAGGACCTTGACAATGATGAAAGCAGTAGAAGCACCGGCGAGTTAAAAATAAATGAGGTATGCAGGTGTTTTGTGAGTCTCCTGACACTGAAGTGGATTCCAAAAAACGTTGTGTATTTTGTCATGTTGACTGTTCTTTATGAACTTTTTTTGGTTTTCAGATCGAGGGTGTTAAGATCTCATCGGTACCGGGGGAAGAGGCCCAGGCGACCTCTGAGGTCCGCACACGCTCCGTCAGGTCCCTCGGCACCGCAGAACTCATTCGCCCCCAGAAGATGAAGTACTTTGAAAGTATGACCCAGCTTTTTTCATCCGTCCTTCTCCTCCTTGTTGTTGTTTACATCCAGATGGCTTTATTATGTTTAGCCGGTTTAATGGATATGGCATCGTATTTCAGGTAATAATGATGCAGAGGAGGAGTCGGATGAAGATGAGGACTACGTTCCATCGGAAGACTGGAAAAAGGTGCGTAGGAATTTTATTTACTCAGTATCAGTACATTATCAGACATTTGTACTGCTACGTCAGAGCATGATTCACAGTAGCAAAACCATTTGTCAGAACAAGGACGCCTTTGTTCCTTTTTAAATGCTTAATTCCTGGAGCAGATGAACTTGTATACAGACTTCCTCCTAGTCATGTCGGGCTTTGTCGGATGTGCACTGACTGTCACTTCATGTTTGCCTGATCCTTTCTTCAAAAAACATCTTTCAATCTTAACGTGTTATAGGATTTCAGCAAATTATACTATATATTTCTTGATTAGCAGTCTGACAATCTCAGATGTTGAAATGCCAGCAGGTTTCATATTTGTTATGCATTGGGAATAATCCAGTCTAAATCATGCGTTTATTCCCTTCAGGAAATCATGGTGGGTTCAATGTATCAGGCAGAAACCCCCTCCGGCCTGTGTAAATATAAAGACAATGAAAAGGGTAAGCCGGATGTTAGTCGTCTCACTGAGTCAACCTGCAACACTGTTGTTATAAAATCCCTTAAAGCGCGTGCAGATGTTTGACATGGCCTTTTCCCCGCAGTTTATGAAAATGATGACCAGTTGTTGTGGAACCCCGAGTGTCTTCCTGAAGGCAGAGTGGTGGAGTTCTTGACGGAGGCATCAAGGCGGACCGGAGAGGAGAAGGGAGTGGACGCCATCCCAGAGGGATTCCACATCAAAGACAATGAACAGGTGACCACGAAGTATCCGCAGTGATGCTGCACACAGGGTCGGGAGGACGGACACTTGACCATAAGAAAAATGACACGTGAAAATCAAATGATGGTGCTGAACATGTGTGATCCTTGGTCTCCGTTTTTAGGCGTTGTATGAACTAGTGAAGTGTGACTTTGACACGGAGGAAGCTTTGAGAAGACTGAAGTTTAATGTAAAAGCGGCCAGAGGTAAGTAGAACATCACGTTCATATTGACCTTGGGTGTTTGCCGCCGCTGCGCGCTTGGGTTGATACGATGTTCTGTACTTGGATTGTCTTCAGAAGACCTTGGAGATCTGAGATTAACACCTATTCTCTCTGCAACAGAGGAGCTTTCTGTCTGGACTGAAGAGGAATGTAGAAATTTTGAACAAGGACTAAAAGCTTATGGGAAAGACTTTCATTTAATACAGGCCAACAAGGTAAGCGAAAAGTTTAGCAGCCTCATTAATGAACCGCTCACATTGATGATCAAGACATTCATTTTAAGTGTGTGTGCTGTCTGTGTGATGCCTCGGGGTTGGAATCGACCCTGAGGCATTTTGAGATGAATGAAATTCCCCTGATCTTTGACTGTGTTTGTGAATCACATGATGTCTCAACAATAATTTGATTTGTCTCATTTGACACTGTGCTGAATCTCTTTCGACGATGGTAATAATGGTTATTTCATGTCTGCTGAATTAAATCTTTCAGGTGAGAACTAGGTCTGTAGGAGAATGTGTGGCCTTTTATTACATGTGGAAGAAGTCTGAGCGTTATGATTTCTTTGCACAGCAAACCAGACTTGGGAAAAGGAAATACAACCTTCACCCTGGTGTCACGTAAGTTCAAAATGAAAAAGATCTGTCAATTATTTATGGAAGAAATGGTTTTCTTGTTCCATGTCGGCTTTGTTTTTAATATCCACCAGTGATTTATGCGCACAATCTAAACGTCAAACGTAGTGAACAGATGCTTAGTTCTCCGGCTGGTTGGTTGTTTCTTTGCTGCAGTTTAAACGCGCAGATCTTTATTGAACAATATGGCTTGTTTACTTTTTAAGAAAGAAATATATATACATGTTATGATGATGTGATAAATGATTATATTATTATTCTGTTAAGATACTCAAAGTCTAATGTGCGCCACAAAGGCAAACCTGATATAGCTGCAGTCTGTGTTAAATTTGTGCATATGTCTCTTTATGGTGGTAATATGATATCAACCCACTTCCAGGGTCAAAGAGTTAAAAAATAAATAAAAAATAACTTTTATCTAAGCCGAAAAGGTGAAGCCACAATTAATTCATCTGTACAGACTGAGCCCGTCGGTCGGCCTGATGAATTAATAAAACTACTGATGACTATGACACAAGCTCATCCAGCCCCTCACAACGCACAGCCAATCGTATCGACTTCACGACAAGTCTTCAAACAGGACCGGCTTTGTTCCATTAACATCCACGGCGCTCGTGTGTAACGGCTCTTGTGCTGCTGTGTGTCACCAGAGACTACATGGATAGATTATTGGATGAAACGGAAAGCGCCACGTCCAGCAGGGCGGCGTCGCCGCCTCCCTCCAGCAGCAGCGCCAGCCACTCGGAGAGGGAAGACGGCAGCAGTCAGAACGGTGAGCCGACGAGGGCAAAGTGTGAAGTTAAATGTATTCAGGTGACCATTTTAAAATGGTGAGGGACACACTTCCTTAGGCTGTCCTCGTTACTGTGGATTAAGTCTGTTTTACTTAGTTTGTTACTGTAATTCAGGTGATCCACCATTTAAAGTCTTAAACGAGCCCCTCTTTGGTTTTTGCCGCCAGGTATCTTAAGCCACGCTTCAAGTCACCCAGTGGACGGCGCTCAGCTGCTCCCGATACATCAAGTCAAGCCCGAGTCCCTTCAGTCCAACGGTCCCGCCCACCCGCCGCCGGACGCTCCGGCTCCCGTTTCGGACACCTCCAACGGCTGCGGCGCAGACGGCCACGAGCAGAACGGCTCACTAGAGCCTCCGGCAGACCGCCGGGACCTGGCGACGGCGCACGAGAGGCCGGCCAAGAGGTGCCGGACGGAGGCGGAGCCACTAGGCCAGAGCGAGGTGGAAGCGTCCAGAACGCAGGAGGACTGAAGGCGTTCAGTGGCGTGGACTAAGACGCCTAGACGAAGGGGGGGGGGGGGATTCCTGCCTGGCCCCCGAGAGCAGAGACTCTCTTTTTGGACGAGGTTAAAAGGTCACTGAAAATCCCAGCTTGAAGAGCACAGCCGACCAAAGTGTAGCTGGTCCTTTGAGGCACGGGGGAGGTTGGCCGCCGCCGCCGCCGCCGCCTCTTCCCTCACCCCCCCACTCCAATAGGTGGGAAGACGGCCTGCTCGTATCCCACAGCATCATCTTCCACCCGAGGTCACTTCTTCGATGACTGGCTGACATTTTGACAAGAATTTCCTTTTTCTATTTGTACTCATAGAAAGTCAATCACCTGTGATATTTTTTTACACAAGATATTTATATTTTTTAACAGAAGAAAACTATAACTGCTGTCCGAGTTATTTGAGAGCACACGTTTGGGGTTCTTCAAACGTAGACGATTATATGCCTAAATTGTCCAAAAAAAAGAAGAGGAAACGGTGGGCAAACACAAGACGAGTGAGATTTTAGTTGCACTTTGATTGTACGGTTCTCATCTTTCGAGCGGTGTGGAAAACCCAGCAGAATTGCATTTTCACTCCTCTGCGCGCGCGCCTCCCTCGCCCCGCGGGTTTGTTTGTGTGAAGCAGCTGACATCAGTGATGTCCTGTATAATAACTCATCACCTAGGAGATTGCTGTATTTTTGGATTTTCATAGTCGGTGCTTTGCTCAACGCTTTGTTTTTACTAGACCGAATGTCCGTGATTTTTAATGTAAAGTTTGTATAGATTTCTTACCTTGAGCAGTTGGTACATTTGTTTGTTCAGGTCTTCCTCGTAGGCTTCCATGCTTTTTGCTTACAAAGCGTTCGCCTGTGTTGCTCTGAGATGGATGTAATTCTTTCTTCTTTTTTTTTAAGTAGCCATTCCTCGTTCCCTTTGTTTGGCAGCACGGCTCATTCCTGTGTGACCTCGCACGTCCCGCCGCCGCCATCTTCTTTGCAAAGTGGTCAAAGTGTTCCCGCCTGTATCTCCCGTCTGTCCAGGTGGACGTCGGCGTGCGAGCTGGGAAACCTTCATTTGTTTTTGGTACAGTAGCTGTACAGGATGCTGCTGTATTTTACTTTGTACTCCAGCTTTGAACTTCCACAAATTAAGATAAGTTTGTCTCCATATTGTTGATCCATGTAGTCTTTCCCTTCATTGACAGTGATGTTTTTTTATTTGTAAATGTTGAAATGAATAAAAGTGTATTCCAAGACTGGCTATGAATGGAATAGCACTGGCTATATTTAATAAATGTATTAATGAGTCAAACTGTGCATACTTGAATACAACAGAAACACTGTTTCCCAGATAAAGTAAAAATCTCATTTATTACAATATTTAAAATGTTCAACGACTCCTTGGCCTTGATCAGAAACAATCATGGTAATATGATTACACCGTTTAAAATAGTGAAGATCAGCAGTAGGAATGTATTTAAAATAAACTACATATTAAAAACTGGTGTGGAGAAATCGGAATATGATCTTTCCTTTAAGTACATTGATTTGTCAAATATTAAAGTGCCCAAGACTCACTGAACCAGTGAAATATGAAAAGGCACTTAAAGACAACTTTACTCGGCTTGATTGCAGCTAAAACATGCTGACGAAATACAACGAATACACATACATTTTTTCAAAACATTCAAACAGCTTAAAACTTGATGTTTTGTGGACATTGGCGGCTCTTGTATGACGGCTCGGGACTCCGTGGTTTACGCCTTTTCTGTTAAATTTGATAAAATTACAAATCACCTGGAGCCCGTTCAATTTGTGCATCAATGTGAACCTTTTATGATTTGAAGCGCTCTTACTGGTTTGCTCCTGCGTGAAGGTGATGTAGGAGTACACCAGGCTGCCGGCGATGCTGTGGGACACAGACGGGACGAAATCAGTCCCCCAAACGAAACAAAACCACCGGCACGGTTTAAAAAGCGTGTGTCTTACCTGATGTTCAGACCTACGAAGTTGGTCCAGGTGAATATGTAGTCTCCTCCGAACATCATCCCGATGTAGGTCACAAGGATATTCTGCAGGGGTGGCAGACAGAGGTCACCGCACACACCTGCATTGACGAATGCTGGCGGCGGCGTTGGGACGCACCTTAATGCAGCCCACGATGGAGGTGGTGAGCGCCGAGTTGTACTGCGTGCACAGCATGATGGAGTACATCAGCACGAAGCTGCACAAACACAACAAACGGCGGTCAGGTCGCAGCAGCACTGCGGGATATTAGCTCGGAGCAGGAACGGGTGCAACTAACAGTTTACCCCATGACACAGGAGAGCACAAACTGCACAACAAACAGCTGATCGGACCAGCCACCATACGCCAACCCCTGTTCACACACAACAGACACACACACAGAGAGAGAGAGAAAGAGGAGATTCTCAACTCAACTGGTTGGACACGTGATCATTCAAACCCTTAACATGAACGCGAAAGCATTTCTTACCACTTGCAGGTCCCCGGAGTAGTAGGCGTACGCGGTAGTGGGGAAAATCATGATTAAAGCGTTGTAGTAGAGAAGCCCGTATTTGCCCAGCTCCTGTCGGAGCGGCAGCACACAGGAGAGTCCTTTAAGGCACGACGCAGCAAAGAAGCATCACACACACACACACACACACACACACACACACACACACACACACACACACACACACACACACACACACACACACACACACACACACGTCAGCAGCGGCGCTGACCTTGGAATCCAGCTTCTGCTTCACGTACGCCCCGCTGGCCGCCGTCAGGACGTTGTTCGTCATTATGAAGATGTATCCTAGCAGGTCGAAAGCTAGATCAGCGCTGCAAAAACACGCGTCAAGGGATGAGACGTGAACCGGACGACGAAGAGGATGGTGGTGATGATGATGATGGTGATGTGTGGTCGCCTGACCTGGCGGCGACAAACGCGCCGAAGACCATCGCGAACACCGTGGCCTTCACCGGGGCGGAGAACGTCTTCCTGTGAGGAGACGGTCGCCAGTGAGTCGCTAGTGGCGGGGGGCGCTCTTTGTTCAATAGTGGCGGCTGGACTCACTTGAGCAAGAGTCCCTCGAACAGCATGGTGAGACAGATGCTGAACCGCCTCAAGACCGTGAACATGGGCAGACTGGGAGAAGCGGAGAGCCTCTTTTATTATGAAGGAAATGAGGTTTCATGCCACACGATGACACGAAGAGGAGTAGCAGCTCTTACTTGAGACGCTGCGTCCCAAACAGCCCCGATATTTGATTCCCCACGTACAGGAGAGGCAGCGGAAACATCTGGAAAGACACAAAAACGGATGGAATAATAACAGCAGCATTTATTCTCTTTGATGTGACGTTTGTGCGTTTTACTTTCAGAGGAGGGGGGAGAACTACCTCGTGGCCTCACCTTGCGCGGTATCGACCGATCCACATCTGGAAACGAGATGACGCCGAACATCTTCCCGGTCCTCAGGACTACAACCGTAGCCAACATCTGCAGAGTTATTGGAACAAAGGTGACAGCGTTTCAGGGCTCTGTCGTTGGAGCATCGGAGAATCAGCTTGAGGGAAACTTACTTGGCCGATTCCAACGCATGTCGAGGACGGAAATCTGCAAAAACAAGCGGACGATGGCGCGAGGACACAAAACGATATTAGGCAACAAAACAACTGTAAATGGGTTCCGTCCCGCATATTTATCACCAGAATACGATGGGAAGTAATTGGATTCAATGATGTGTCTAAACAGTTTAGTGGATGCCGTTTCATGCTTTTGATCCTGATCGTTAAAGAAGCGTTCGGTTGGGGGGTAGTTGACACCTTGTGGGTGGAGGAGTGTGACGGAGGGACACGTGGTCAGAGCATAGAGTTTAGGAATTAGTCAACAGACTATTTAAAAAAAATGGACAGAATGTGAACCCCCCCGAGCCCGGCTCCATCATGCGTGTCCCCGTCTTTGAACACTGCCCCCCCGAAGCGAAGCTTCCTTTCGACGCTCCACTTGCACTTTGACCCCCCGTTGGTTTACCTGTAGCTCGTCAGGACGCTTTTGTTGACCACAACGATGAGGAACGAACTGACTCCGTAGAATCCCGCTGCCAACAGTCGCCGGTGCGCCGCCGAGCTGCTGCCCGGCGTCGTGCTCTCGGACGCCTCCTCGAGGGGCGACTTTGCCCGGCGTTTGTGGAGCTCCGCCATTAGTTTTTTTTTTACGCGATTATATCGATCGAGACGAGAGTTCAGACGGAAGAGAACAGTAGTTCGGCGCATGCGCAGAACAGTCTGACCCGAGTGACGCGAGAGGCTGTCCGCGGCGACGGAAACATCTGGATTCAGGATTATTCAGGCAGGATAGAAATACATTAACGTAACGGTAACGTTAGTGACGTTTGTATAAGTTAATGGTAATTTTGCAGCTTTTTATTTGTGTTGAGTCATTGTATCCAACCAAATGTTATACACATTTATCAGTAGTGTAAATTGTAATGTCTCAATCTTAAGCCGTAGTAAAATAAAATGTAGTGTGCTGCGTTGAACTGGATTAATATTTGTTAATTTTAGCGAATAAACTAGCAACTAGCTGAGTGTAATCAAACCCTTCTGGGGTCATAAGCAGTTACAGTGGAAAAGCATTTGAATGAAACACCAGAGCTTCCTTATGCTTTTAACGACGAAGAATCCACAGCAACATTTTGTTAACACCTTTTTAAAACCACAGTATCGATTGTAAACAACCCAACAGCAATTGGCGGAATACACGTAACACCTCTAAAGCAATTTATTAGAACAGCGATGTTTGCAGAGAACGTTTCACCGTTATGTGGCTCAAACAGTCCAACAAGAAAAACTGCTCCAGCCGTCTGTATCAGTGCATCACCAGCAAGTATTTGCAAAACAGCTTGTACAGCTTTAAATTTATTCGAGCATGTCCTTACACCCCCCCCCCCACCCCCCCTTATAACCAAAGTGAAATATACCCACTTCATTAAAAGAAAATGCTCACTGGAAATGCTGACACAGGTGGCTAAAAGCACCGTAACGTTACATTCTCTAGCTTGAGATTGTTGACTTTGACAGCCAAACTTTTATTTCAGATCACATATGCACTGGTGCTGCAGCACTGATAAAATAAAAAAACAGCAAATATGGTTCACGGGAGGGGGGGGGGGGGGGGGAAGAGAAACAATCTTTAGAGTACCAGTGCCCATAAAACAAAGTGCTCAGAAAGACATTAGAGATACCGCATATGTCCAGTCTTGTGTATCACTCACTTATATTCCAACAATCATGTCCAAATAGACAGTATAAACTACTTCAGGAGATAACTTGTCTTCTATTTTGACAGAGGCAAGTTCAGAGCAGAGGAATACTTAAATTCTAAGTAACTACCTATTAAATTCACAGTCTGTCTCACACACACACACACTCACACACGCACTTAACAAAAAAATACAATATTTGCTTAGTGGTCCTGAAGTAAAAGTAGCATAGTCTTTATGCCCTACCAGGACCAGCCTAAAGATATACACATTGGGCCTCGGGACACCCTGAAAACACAGGTAGCACATCTGGATCAGGGGTTACAAAGCATCACTAACCACTGGTCCACCAAATAAAAAGCAAGCTATCAAAATAAATTGGAAAAGAGGCAGTTACTTTCACTGCACAACAAGCAGAAAAATAACTAGCTTTAGTAGGAAGTCCCTTTGCCTGGTCACCCATCTGGAATTTGTGCCTCGCCATGGGATGGGTAGTCAGGATCAGAGTAATTACACTTGAAATGCATGTTTAGCCATGCTTCAGATACCTAGTACACCTATGCTATGTAGTGTAGTGCTACCACATCAGTGTGTATCACTGGAAGGGAAAAGCTCCAGTAAAAAGTATCGTCTAAGATGACCATATAATACTGAGCTGAAGTCATGAGGGGAAAAAAAGCGTCAAGAGATAAACACACTTTCAACCTAATCGCATAAACGCATTAATTTAAGTTGCACAAAAAAATATCAATGAGTATGCATAATCTCTGAAAAACAAAAGGTATGAAAACATCCCTGCTTTCATGTTTCTAAATACAAAACTTCAGTGTAACAAGAGGTCCTTTTCTCGCCTTTTTTTGTCTTTTGTTCTCCTTTTTAAAACTGGTACAATTTTAAGTCCCCTGGTGGTGCGAGAGGTATGGAATGAGTCTCTTTTTTTGTCATTTAAAATCTTTTTTTTTCTTCTTTTCTAATATACTTGAATGATGTAAGCATGCAAGCCTCGTAGAGGAGGGGCCCGGAAGGGCTGATCGGTGGGCTGGTGGTGGAAAAGGAGCCTTCAGGCCAGGGCCGGAAAGGCCTCAGGGTCATCCACGTTGGGGACTGACACTCCAGTGGCCTGGAGGGACAAAAACACAAAAACCAGGACAAGGTAAACGGGCTGGAATCCATACATGTGAGAGGTGTCACTCAGTGACAGATGCTAGTACGAGCACAGTGGTTTAATATTTGTTTCTAAATGAATGCTTGATTTTCAAAATAAAAGCCTGTGGATTGAATCCCTTCATAAGATAACAGGGCTTTTATTCTGAAATATTTGCAGTGACTGGCTCCATATATTAATAGAGTGACGCCTCTTAAAGCGGTTTGTCCACAAATGATAACAGGGGACAAAGCTTCCGGGTCTGATCAGCTGCTTTCAGTCCGGATTCAAAAGTAACGTGTGTTATTATGTTATTTGGCTGGAACTTTGTACTACTTATATAACTTTAATAATTATACACTACGGTTACAGTTTATAACCTGAATAGAAGAAGCACGCAGAAGTTAAAATACTTAACTGTATGTCACACATTACAACTCAAACCCCCCTGAAAACTGACGCGTGGTGAGTTTTGCATCACGGACCACGTGGTCTCTGCTCTGTTACTTCAGGCCGAGCAGAGACCACGGCTGTTCAGTCTGCGGGTTGATTCCTTTGTGAGAGACACTAAACCTTTTGTTTTTCTCGTTGAAAGCAGCGAGAGCTTTTTATTATCACCTTTTCAGGCCGTCCTCCTCCGCGTGCCGTCCTGCTGCCGCCGCCCCCACCGCCTCCGCCACGGCCCCCCCTGCCTCCGCGGGCTCCCCCGCGCCCGCGTCCGGGGCGGCCCAGGTCTCCGAAGTTGATCTCCAGCTGGGATGTGATGTCATTGGCTGGCTTGCGGAAGTGGTGGTCGGCGGACTCGTCAGTGGGGCCCAGCTGCTAAAAACGCGCAACGACAACACATGTTAAGACAAGAGCTCTGCTATGAAATGAGTGAACAGGTGTTGCTTAGCTACAAACACAGAGACGGCCTTTTGGATTTTTCAATTCCTCTGGAGTCACCCAAAACTGAACAGACTAATTTCAACATTTAGCCTCCCACTGTTTTCTAACAGGGCAGGTTATAAAAACGGACAGACAGCGGATGGTTTTTAAGAGACTGGAGGAGCTGCAGGCACCTTGTTGTACACGGGGGTCGGGGTCGGCTCTGCTTCCGTCTCCACGGCGTCGATCAAAGCGCCGACGGGCCTCTGAAAGTCACAGACAAACAACACAGGGTTCTTCACTTCGAACCCAGTTGGCTGAGAGCGATAAACGACCACGTGCAGCTGAGAGCAAGGTTTGCGCATGCTACGCAGAAGCGTACGAGGTGGAAGAACGTTCTGTCAGCGTTGTTATGTCTGAAAAGACAGCAGTCAAACGGAGAACAGTGTCCACACAGCTCAGTCGAGCTTCTGTTACACAAAAGCTTCTCACTCAGTTAGCAGCCTCAAAATACACAACAAAACAATGATTAGATTGACAGCAAATCAGTCCATAACTACTGGATGTTATTGGTAACAATCGGCACACTAATGAACAAAATAGTTGCAGCTTTAATCCAACCTTTGAACGGTGGTTAAGATTCCTGTGTTTGCTAAATCTATATTTCCTCTTCTTGCTCTGCGGTACAAAATTGAAAAATTCATTCATTGTTAATCCTTCAAAAGGCAACGTTTTCCTGTATTTCAAGCTTTCTTAATGCAAAAGGGACGTCTACGGTCATTTTCGTAACCAGGGTCGGTAAAAGGACGCTAGCGCCGGTGAATTAGCTGTGCGCTGCTGTAGGCGTGACCTGGACAGACGCCCATCGCCGTTTGTCATTAGGTTAAACATTAGTTCAAGGGTCGCCAAAATTACCCTCGATGCCAACAACATATCTGGGAACCCAATTCTGCCCTTTCACAATAAGATGTCCCTCCAAATAGTGCAATAAAAGCACTTTCATCTTTGCCCCAGCATTGCCAGAGTGAGTCTTACTACTTTCTCTCAACAACGTAGATTCATTCACATCTATGAATTAACATCACCTACATTTTGCGAGCGATCGACCCCAAAAAAACTAAACGGAAACAGCGTCAAATTACGAGTGTCCGGGTCAGGCTAATAATAGCTTTCGCTGTCCGGGTCGGGAGAGCGTCACGTTACATTATTAATCGCCACACTTACATCTTCACTCTTGGACTTGTGCAGCACGTATCCTTTCTTCCACTGGCTGTCGGCTCCTTCGTTGGGCTTACGGATGTTGAACTCCACCTTGGTGCGCTCCTTGTCCTGCATGGCCTTCCACTCGTCCAGGGTCATCTCTTTGGGGCCTTCGTTTTTAACCTCCTCCACCTCGTTCTCCCTGGAAAGCCAGCGGCAACAATGTAGGACCTTAAACCTCAAACTGCCAATCCTCTTAGCTCTGCATTTGCGCCTTAATCCTGGATGCCGAAAAAGGTCAGAGTCGATGTTTATCCTTTTGGCGCTAAAGCTTTCGCCGTGAAAATGCACACGCGGAAGCGCCGTTTGCGGCACAACTTGACCAGTCCGAAAGGAAACCGCCACGTTGTGAAGAAACATAACGAGGAATCGACCGGTCATCGGCTGCGCTGTTCACACGAGGATCATATTTTAAAAATCACACTCCAGATCAGAATTTATTTAAATTGAGCTAATCTGGCTGTGATTACTGTGGCCTGATTCGATGCACCAGCTTCAGCTCTATCCGGGTCATGAGTTACAGCCTATTGGTGCCTTTGTTGCTCAAAAGCCCCTGTTTGTCAAACATAAAGCAGCAACGAAAATAGACCCAGAGTTCCTGCTTGTTCTCTAACAGTCACAGCTATTAATAAAAAATTAAAAAAGTTATTAGATGTTCAATAAGTTTCCTGTTCGTATGAGTCAGACGTCACTCTGTCAGCAGAGAATCAAGTCGCCGTGTAGCTGCATTTACATTTTCACTGCCGTTGCACGTTCATTGCAAGTATCAGTGATCTCCTTGATTACTTGTGATCGTATCGGCCGTGAAGAAAAACACACCATCCGATTTCTACTTCAAACTACTTTGTTCACTGGAGGGTGGGGGGGGGACAGCTCCATTAACCGAATACTACCCTGAACCCGAACAGCTGACGGGTAATGGATACTCACTTGTTCTCAGAGCCGGCAGGTGCACTTTCTTCTCCCTCTGGGGTCGCTTCTGGAGCAGCCGGCTGTTCAGCCTCGCTGCGAACAAAAGACGCGCAGCCACCTCGTTAATGCCAACGCATTACCTCCAGCCGAAACGCGATCCCCCGAGAGCTGCCGTTCCCGGCTGGCTCAAATGTAACCGCACAACCCTACAAGCGTGCGCTGCATCTGATACAATAATGTTGCACGCTTGCTAGAATAGGACAAATATGACGGCGACGCTCAAGTCCGCGCCGGAAAAAACTCACCTCGCTTCCTCCTTCACGTTGCCCCAGTTGTGTGAGCCGCTGCCGCTGCGCTTTTCCTCACTTTTCTGACTGCTGAAGCGAGAGAAAAAATAATCTTCTCAAACCAACGACGTCCTTGAGTCTGTACTTTTTAACTGAGACGTCAAACACTTGACGGACGGAGTTATATTTTAGCTCGGTTTCGTTTCATCGGTCCGGCGGCGTCCAACTCACGGTTTGTCGTTGCCGCTGTGTCTGTCAAAGTCTCGTTTCCCGCGGGAGTCGAAGCCTTCGCCTCGCCCCATTCCCCGTCCTCTTCCACCACGCCCGCCTCGTCCGCCGCCACCACGCCCTCTCGGGGGCCGGTCTCCAGGAGGCCTGCTGAACAAACACAGGCGCTTAATTAAACCAACAAAACGGTGCAAGGATTACCTCATCGGAGCCTCCACATCACGTGACAATCCTCCAAATCTGCTCTTAACGTCAGCATCCTGCGATCACGCCAGACGGCCTCGATGCTCACCAGCGTGTTTTTTAAAAATCCGCTCTTTGTCATTCATCCCGGCTACCCACTTGTCTGCGGAGAACTCTCCTCCTCCTCCTCCTCCCTCGGGCTTGTCCTCTGCCGGCTTCTCGAAACGCCGCTCGCGAGGAGGTCTCCGGTCCGGCCTCTTGTCTCCGGGCCGCCCTTCACCCTGCCCGCCCTGAGCCTGGGAGCCCGGCTGGCCCTGCTGGTCTGGTCTCCGGCCCACTCGCCTGATACCTGGTGATCGCACAAAGTTGTTCTTTTTAAACCATTTAGTGCGGGAGGAGCGGTAGTGTGGAGAATATGTGCACGCCCCTCCGTCCCCGCAAACTTCTTCTCTATCTAGCTGCACCTCCTTATCTCCCACTGCCCCAATGTGATAAGTACAGTACAACCTTTAACCCCCCCCTCCTGCCTGCAGAGCTGCTGTTTTAGCGCTTAAATAATCAACGACTAAGCTTTCAAATAAATAAATAAAAATATGTATTCACTGAAGCGAGACGTTTGCAACTCAAACAAAGGGCCTCTCTGCCTCCCCAGTGCGCAGGTAAACATCTTGCGCATTCTCCTGCAGCCGCACACTGCGCTGCGCAGCTCGTGCACGCAGCATCCCCCCCCAGGCGGTCAAACCTACGCTACACCTTTCTGTAGGATGCTGGGGGGGTGTGATGAATAAAGCCCCATAGCTGTGCACAGAGCAGTGCGGGGGGGGGGTGTTACACCCTGACCCGCTGTCCCGCTAACCCTCAGCCCGTCGCGGGTTGACCTCCCGCCGGGCTTCGCTGGGACCAGCGTCGGCTAACGCGGGACGCTCAGTTGATTTGGAGATAAAGAATGAAAATAAACGCGCGCGCTGCAACACAAAGCAGGAGTGCGGGTGACGCGTTGTTGTTATTGTTGTTGTTATTAGTATTGTTGTCCTACCTTCTTTCTTCAGCGGGACCGCGGCCTGGGACTCCTCCTTCTTGTCCAGCAGCGGGTTCTTTCGGTCCTTCTGCGACTCCTTCTTCGGCTGCTTGGCGGCTTGCGCCGCGCTCTTGGTGGACCCGGCGGCGGCCGCCTCCTTCTTCTTGTTCTCGGCCGCCTTCAGGATCTCGAACGGGTCGGACTCGTCGTCCAATAACTGGTCGAACCGGTTGGTCACGACGCAGCCGAAGCCTTCCTGCAGGTGTCCGGGCATGATGGCGCCCCTTCAGCGGGATTCACCTCCGATTCTACGAGGCTTGAATGCGAACGGGTCGCTGGATGCTGCCACAAGATGGCTGGGAGAGCTGCCCCTTCTCTTCCGGTGCGAGCCCCATCCGGGACACCGCGCGCGGCGCACCAATGTGAGCGCGCGCCGCCTGCGATGTTGTTATTTACATTATGTAACGATGTGCGCTCACGTCCCGCCGAAAATAATCCCGGTTTTAATTTCTTAAAAGGAAATCCAAGCTTTCAAAAGTCTCACGTTATATGTGGCTGCAGCAAACCAGGTTATGTTGTGTAACAATATGCATGCGTTATTAAATATGATTATGTATGGATTGCGTGAAGAAGTGCATCTTGATGTATTTTGGGTAATTGTACCATAGCTCTATTGGTTTATAGTGGCCGAATCAGGTCCAGCGTGGATACTACACAATTAAAAACCTTGAATGAGCAGCTGTGTCCCTTTGCTGGTACTACAGACTTTTATTGAAGAAGCGCCGTGCTGAGGAGCGCACTGGAAAATATGTCACACTGGTTGAAGGTAAAGTCAGACACCTTTTCATCTGTAGGCTCATTTTAGTCATTTTCACCTCAGCCCTTGACAGAACAACACTGCACACAAGGCCAAGTGCTACAGCGGATTGAATCAACGTCATAATAAATGTAATTTAGCTTTCTTTGAAATAGCTTTTTAAAATCTTTTTTGTTCTTTTGTTTATTTCAACGATACCGTGAAAATTGATATTAAGACCCACTTCATTCTGATACTTCTATTACAAGCGTGCCAAATTACATCATAATTTGTGGTAAAGGATCAGCCCACTGAAGATGGCTGACTGGTAGTTGGTTGATGGCTTCAGTGAACCTGATCAGATTAAAGCGTGATGCCTGATGCAGGTGAACATGATACAGAGATCAGGTGAAGCTGCAACAGGCAGTGTTTCTACATTACAGACTCCCGTGGGTTGGACGGAGGGTCAGGACATTCTAGATTTATTTTGATGGACAACCTTTCACAGAGGTGAATCATACAGTTCGGATGTTTGAATAATAAAATATGAATACGGCTGATAAAGAGTGGACAAAAAGTAGACAAGACTTTTCAGATGATTGCAGATAAAAGGCTCTGAGGCAAATGTAAGTTTGTGATACTTGCATGTTTCATGCAGCAAAAGTAATCTTGCTCACCACAGATTAATGCAACTTTTATGATTTTTTTAAAGCGTGAAATCAAACACCTGAGCAAACTTCTATAATCAAACTTCAGGCTATAAATGAACTACATATAGTTAGTAGTTTATATAGTTTTAAGACTCACCATGTGTAGAAAATACAATGAGACAAAATAAACATACGAATCGTAAGACTCCCATTTACTCCAAGGACTGTCTAGGAGAGTCCTCGTTGGTATCTTCTCATTCTTTCTTTCTGACTACTCTCTCAAGTTCAAGAAGTTTTGAATACAGGACCTCGGCCATTTCTTCATCGATGTCCATCTGAAACAAGAAAATCTGAAAATCTGAATTCATCGCATGTAAAGCAGATCACATTAATTATCTTTTAAAAAAGGTTTTACCTGCTCGGTATTCCATGAAAACCAACTGATCCCAGTCACTCTTCGAAATGTTTGAATGAATTCTAAGTTTGTACCGAAGGTTCACGCAGAGCACACTGGAGCCCCTTGACTCACCTGTCGAGCCTGAGTGTAGTTTGTTCCAAGGCCGGACGTTAAACTGTGGTACTTCGCTCTCGGATCCAGTGACTCTGGGTTTTGTCCAAACAACCAGTGCTGTGAAAGAGCGGAGCGGGACACTGCGTTTAGGCTGCGTTCATTTCGCAGATGTTTACAGGGCAGGTCGACAACGTACCAGCGCCTCTGCTCCGTTGTGTGGCGTGAGCGTGAATGTGTTGGTGAAGATCCTGATCTGAAATATATATATATATATATATATATATATATATATATATATATATATGTAATATATAAAATGCATCCCAGCAACATGAGACCTTTCATATGCAACTCCAATCAACAGAGATGAAACCTCACTCACCAGCCACATGATGGGCAATATGAGGGTCCAGAAAAAGGACGGGAGAATACCGTAGGTCAGATTAGTCATCACCAGTCCTGGACATATTACGGAGGAGAACAGCCCCTGTCACAAAGAGAAGTAACTTTTATTCCACATGAAACATGCACGTGATGAGATGGTACTTTACTTCATAATTGAAAAACAAAGGCGATAAAAGTGCAGAACAGATACGATTTTAGATTTTTGGGGTGAATTGTTGAGGCTTGTAAAAGACATGAAGCTAAAATGGTAGATATGAGTTTTCCAACTCTTTAAAAAAAACTGATGTAAAATATAAAACAAAGAAAAAACATTTTAGCCTATCCTCAAAAGCGCATTCGACTAAACATGAACACTTCCGCTCTCTAGGATTTGTCAAAAGTAGGGTCCTGCTCCCACACCAAAACTTCCATAACCTTGAGGAATTTTGCAATGACATTAATTCTGCGAATTAAATGTCTGGATGTGAACAAGTGCCCCCCCCCCCAGTATCAATAATCTGCAGACTGCGTGACGTACAAACCTGGCTGTTCTTGTGTCGGTTGAGGGCCAGGCTGAGCATGTCTGACGCGTACTTGGAGGAGCTGTAGGGCTCCGAACCATCTCTGTGCTGCAAGTCCTCGATGCTGAAGGCCGAGCGGCGGGCGTTACTGGAGGAGGTCCACACTACCCTGGACGTGTGACCTGCCCGGCACACCAGAGGCTCCAGTTCCCTGATCTAGATCACAGACACAAGGTACCTTCAACTTCTGTACGCGTTTCATTTATCACATCAAACTCAACGGCAAAAACAGCAGAGTGTTTCTTCTTCAATCAAAGTTTCTCAATGGTGTTTGACACATTACATATATACTGCACCACAACAGTTATGTCAATACAAAATGTCACAAAGTTAGATATTACACAAACCAAATACTGCTGCAATTACTACACTACTACATATTGATGACAACTACATACACACATATATATATTGCCAAATTAAGGAATTTGCCATGTATATCTGCAGTCAGTGTGTGCTGTACCAGGAGAAAATGGCCAAAGAGGTTGGTGGCAAAAACCTCCTGCAGCCCATCTGAGTTGAGCTGGTCCTGTTGAGTCAAGAGGCCCTCTGCTGTCGCAAACATGTTGATGACATTTCTGCAGTGAGGGGATGAGATATTGCCAAATCAGCACGGACAACAGAAAGTTAGCAAAAGTTAGTCAAGCTGTAAACCAATTCAAAATGTAAAAAAACCCCAAAGCGAAGCAAGACAGGAACTGGGTCGGAGGCTTTACCTGGAGAACAGACCCCTGAAAAAGGCTTTTAAATCTATATGCGGATTGGGCATGATTCCTGCATTTAAATACAGAAAGTCAATTCGGTTGTATCTGCGGAAAAAGAAAAATATGCATCAAAAACATACATCACTTCTATGATGATAGTTCTGGTATAAGCACAGGCGTGACCATGACCATCACTACATCCCGGTAACAGTACCTGGCCTTGACCTCCTGAGCGGCAGCGAGCACTGATTGCACAGAGCCCACGTCGAGGTGCAGCAAGTCTACATGTGCGTTGGAGTGAGAGGTCAGGAGGGCGGAGCGGGCGGCCTCACCGCGTTGCGTGTTTCTGCAGGCCAGACACAGCCGGAGCTGGCCGTCCTCGGTCAGCAGCCTTTCGCACAGCGCCAGACCGATGCCGCTGAGTAATGGGGAGGATAGCAACATCCAAAAGGATGAAAACAAACTGTGTATTTACTCAAATGCAGTACGTACTATCAAATAGGAAGCGGTTAGAATTGCGTAATACATATTAGAGGATAAGTGTACATTTGGTGTGAAGTTCCAATCAAGTTCCAGTGTACTGTTCCTATTCAAGTCACATCATTTGGATCCAGGCAAGTGCATTAAACAATAACTGGACTCCTGGAAACATGGCAAATTCTGTGTTTTAATATTTTTCTTCACTTTTAATACATTTTATGACACGTTTTAGACTTTTCTGCTCTCGTGCTATTGTGTATGTGATGCAATTACAAAAACGTAACGGAGAAAGAAAATGTGACTTGCAACCGTTAAAGAGGGAGACAGTCGAGTATTCAACATGTTAACATGAATGCTTATTACCTCGGAAGACGTGTCACTCTGTCAGAAACGGGACCAGCCGAGTATCTAGTCGCCATTATAACGCAGTTTAAAAGTAACCTACCTGTTCGCGCCGGTAACAAGAACAACCTTCTCCATGACAGCAACGAGACCAGAGCAAAGTGTGCGAGCAGCCGGGTCGCGTTCCGCTGACCGGCGCCCTGTCGTCCGATTCCGCCGGAGAACTTCAGCCTATACAGGCGGTTGTGAGACGTGGTGTGATTGGATGACAACAAACAACTGGCCAATCAGCGCCCGCTACGGCGCGCGCCGAGGCCCAAAAAAGGCGAAGAGGAGGCGGAACCAAAGGGTGCAGCGACGTAAGTGGCCGCATCGTTTCCTCGTGCCGTGTGAAACACAAGCGTTTGATTGGTTGAAGGCTCGACGCGTCATCTGAGTGCGGACGAAAAGTGTCGAGAGCGCGTCCCGACAACCAAACGACAACTATATGAAATGTTTTACAAGGAGTATGTCGAGTGCATTATGCCGAAAATACCAAAGTCACGCTGTATCCGTTTTCTCTCTATTCTGACCCACAATCCTTTCAACAAATTATGAATTAGAGACTTTTAAATGAAAGAACACCCCAGAAAAACAATAATTATATAATCCGATTTACATATGTTGCATAGCTTTTCTCTACATGATGGCTCAGCGAATATGAGCAAGAGGGTCATTCTTCAATATGCAATGTTGTATGTTCCAATACTGAATGCATACCGAATGCAACTTGCTTTGTATAAAGTTGGATTTAATTAGTGATGCATCAAAATGTACAAATGAACATGCATTTAATGATGGTAAAGTCTGAGTTAGTGTGAAGTAACTTATATACTGCTGGGTATCTTAACTTGTGATAATATATCTTACTTTATTTTGATACTTTTTTGTCTAAGTAATCTAAAACTGAGAAGTAGTAACTCCTAAATAAATGCAGCCAAAATGAAAATACTGAAAGTACAAGGGACTCCATATTGTACGCTGCTTAGGTGCAATAGTTGAGAAAATCTCCTCAGTTACTTTACACCCCTGCTAACAACACCAGTGGAAAGAATACACAACAGTAAACCTTAATTTTCTTTATTAACCGGGATCCGGGATTGGTCCCTTGCTGCTCTTCAACAACATACAGTTAATTGACTTCTGCAAAAGAACATAAACATGTTTATAAAACATATCAGAAAACTGCTGCAGAGTAAAACCTGTCTCACCTAAAAGACAGTCATTGTCATTCAAACATAAAGAAAAGATAAGGTCACACAACTGTATTGACATCCTATAATTAATGCGCAATAGAATTAGGTGAATGAATGCAAAAGAAATAAAAAATAATATTACCAATTGGGTTTAACACCCTATTACCATATGACTCTATAAATAGACACAGCACAGGAGATAAGAAATTAATAAATACACAGAGAAGTGTGAAAAGTGCTACTTTATATATCTACAAGTTCAAGTGTATAAGTTTATCTCATTATTTACAGCTCAATTGCGGCAAGGCAGCTATGATCACATGAAAAAAAAGTTTTTTTTCAACTCCATGTGAATTCCAAAAAGATCCAGACTGAAGGCAGCAGATGTGAATGTTCACTTTGGAGAGAAATCACCGGTTCCGTTTACTAAGCAAGGGTCTCCGTCAGCTGAGTGTGTATCTCCTGAAAGCTCGGCCTCTGCTTGGCGTTCCTCCTCCAGCAGCCCAGCATGAGCTCATTGTAGACTCGGTCGGGACAACAGAGAGGCTTGGGCAGGTACACCTGGCACCGAGACATGAGACAAACAGCGGCTTAAAGCTTAATAAAGGACTGTGAGTATAGCGCTTGAATGTGACGCTGTGATCAAGCGCAGGGTGACACAGATGAAACCATGACTGAGATCATAGGCAGGTTGTACTCTGGAGGGTGGGACGCGTTACCTGCTTGCCCTGGTCCCTGAAGAACTCGCCTGTGTTTTCGATGACCTGCTCGTCAGACAGCTGAGAGTAGGGCTGCTTCTTACACAGAGTCAGAATCTCCCACAGAGTCACGCCGAAGGCCCAAACGTCACTGGCCATGGTGAACTTCCCCTAAGAGAACAAGCCGGCAATTTAAATCCAAACGCCACTCAGAATGAACGTTGCATGTGCTCTATTATCAAACCAGCACAGGCGCCCAATCCCAATGTCCACACTCTTAGATTTGGGGTCAAGTCCCACAATCAAATCGTCTTGTTCTTGAGGGCTCTCTCACAGACCTTTTAAGCCCTTAATTCCCACTTTCCTAGAAATTACCCACAATTCATAACGTTGTAATGTTAAAAACAGGGTTATTCACCAAATACTAATTTTAAATTTTGCTGATTGAAAGCTGTTTTAACAGAAAAATTATGATAATTACCTCTCATCTCATGAGGCAAGAGCCTGGAAGCTGTTCAAATCAGGCATTAAAAAATATTTGGTGTCAGGTAACGTGATGGGGCCGCTCCATTTGTATTCGCCACTGTCAGAAGGTGTGCATATGAGAACTTTTATATGTGCTTTTATGTCTTTATCTACTGTTTAACTACTCCAAATGTCAGCAGCCCCGTACGGCACCCACCAGCAGGATGCTCTCCCAGGACATCCAGCGAATGGGCAGGACGGCCCGGCCCTGGATCCTGTAATAGTCCCCTCGGTACAGGTTCCGACTCATGCCAAAATCTGCGATCTTTATGGTGTAGTTCTTGCCCACCAGGCAGTTGCGTGTCGCCAGATCGCGGTGGACAAAGTTGAGAGAGGACAAGTACTTCATGCCAGATGAAATCTGCACAGCCATGCCAATGAGTTTACTGTAGCTGAGGAGCAGAAGGGACCAACAAAGGAAGAGGTTTCAGTCTACTTCCTGTCTGCCTTAACAAACATAGCAGCAGGAGATACAAAGGGTCCCATACGGTCGACAGGGTGTATTCACAAAGGGCTGTCTAGTTGGCTCCATCTATTGATTCAAGGTCAACATAACAATTTAATGTCGATATGAGCCAACCTGATCATACTCTCCCCCTCTTTCTCCCCTCGATCCATCTTGTTTTCATCCACAGCCTCTTTCAGCCTGAGATTGCAGAGGAACTGGTTCAGGTCTCCGTTTTCCATGTACTCAGTGATCATACACAGAGGGTCTGTGTCCACGCAGACGGCCAGCAGACGGACAATGTTGGGGTCCCTCAGGCGAGACATGATTCGGATCTCCTTGAGGAAGTCATTCCTTCGGAGCAGCAGGGACAGAAATTGTTGTAATTTACCGCTCAATTGACGGCCGACTCACATCCTTTTTTTTTCCTCACACAAACTTTACCTCGCATTCTTGTTGGCATCTTCCCGCAGTGTTTTCACAGCAACCAGCAGCGGTGAGTCACTCTTTTCCTCTATGGACAAATCCTCATCCAAAGAGTCCTGAATGCCCTCTGCCTCACATAAGTGCACCTGTTTTAAGAAGCACTTTGTTAGCCCATCGTGTCGGCACCCCACACCAGCTGTTGAACCTATTCGTCAGCATGCACTGTATAGAAAATGCATTTCACACGAATGCTTTCACCACACGGAAATGTATTCTTAAATGGGAGCATTGAGAAGATCCATTGAGATCATTTTGGTGAGGAAGGAGGTTGCAGCTCGATGAATCGAATGTATTTAAAATAACAAATCAATTGCCAACAAACATTAGAGCCTCAGTAGAGAATATACTTCTCCGAACTGGCCCTCTCCCAGCTTCTCCTTGAAGGTGAGCTTGTCTCTGGGGAACTCTCTCATGGATGAATCGCTGCCAGCAAAGAGATTCATGTTGACAGCGGTGATGGAGTAGGTGCTGCTGTCTGAAGACTCCTGGAGGCTGATGATGTCTGCCTCCGCGTAGTGGGGCGCACCGTCTGAAACACCGGATGCAAGGCCTCTGCAGGAGGTGCTCGGCCCTGATGGGGCGCACAAACAACGCCACACACACTGCTACAGCCGAGGTCGACCGAAATAATTGAATTCATTGAATTGTGCTTTTTGCCATCTCACCGATGTGTTCGGTTGACTGAGCGAACTCGGGTAGTTTCCGGATGAGGCGGGAGGGCTCCTGGTAGTCGGAGCAGAGCGGGAAGATTCTCTCGTAGGTGGAGTTGGAGGTGGAGCCGCTCTCGCTGGACAGAGAGGAGTGGTGGGAGGAGAAGGCCTGGGTCTGGACCGCGAGGCGGGCTGTCAGTTCATCGTCCAGAAGGCGACGGGACGCCTGTGGAAGTCAGTTGGTGAGAGTGGAGGTTTGTTATTTGTTGTAAAGGTCAAATAATCAGGAAGATAATTTGTGTCTCACGCGGCTGTCGCGGCCTGTTACCTTCTGCATTTATCAAACAGAGAGAGGGGAGTCTTGGATTCAAGCAGTGATTGTCATTGGGGAGTAGGAAAGGTTGTTCACATGCTAACATGTGCAAAAAAGTTTTATTCCTACTTCTTCTCCATGTCTACAATGCATCACAGTGGAAGTGGACCACTGTACTGGACCATATCGTTGATCACGCTGGCCTGCTGAGCGCCGCCCTCACACAGCGTTAATCCTCTCAATGTTCTTCAACCTTGTTTGATTGATCTCTTAAAAAAAGAGACAACACTCTCTCCTCACCTTCTCAAGCATCTTTTGCCAGACTTGTCTCCACAGGATGATGACTATGATAGTCAATAGGATGGCAATGATAGCCACCAAGCAGCCAATCAGGATCCTGGTGTTGCTGTCATCCACTTTATGAGTAGGATCCTCGCCTAATAAAACCAGATGACAGTTGACAATTAAATCCATTAGAGATCAAATTGATATTACACAACACATTGCATAAGCCCATTAATGTTTTATTACAACTGCAGTAACACGTCTTTAGTTATTTCAATGATTGACAATTTTAGATACAACCAGAGGGGGGCACTGTGTAACCAGAAACTGAGCTCCACTAAAAAAAACATTTTACATTATGGATGTATACAAGATGTATGTATGCCAATCTAAGCTAATTTAAGGAAAAATAAATGCTCTTCAAAATCCAAATAGATTTTTAATTATATTTGTTATTGACTCGAGATAATAGCTTTCCACTACATTGGTTCCCAGGAGCCATAAATCAAACTACCCTGCACACCCAACATTTATTTTTTTTATGGCTGACGAGCAATTTACCAAGGAACAGCAATAATTAGGGAGGGTGTAGCCACTGACC